TGCATGCTGTGATACAATTCAAACTGTCTGTGCTTGTCTGCCAGATGGGCACTGGGGCAGTTAGCTCTCCACAACATTCCCTTCAGCAGAGACATTGTGCTTCTTGTTATACTTTCATCTCAGCAGCATTTATTTTTAGCATTGCTGCTGGCTGTACTGCGATTAACATCACTCCATGAAAGCCACTATATGTGGCTTTGGTAAGACATCATTTTTGTAGGTAGGATCCTGTAAAAACTAACTGGTACTGTAAAGTACTCTTAGATCTTTACATGGAGGGTATTTATGAACAGGTTAAATGATGTAGGTGTTTGTACGGCATGCAAGAATTCAGCATCCTCTTTCATAGCTACACTTGCTCTTACTTAGGTTGTTTCTTTTCATGCTACAAAAACACTTCCTCATCCAGTCTCTTTTTTTTTGTTCCCCCACATGTAGATGAGAGAATACCCGAGCAGTTTACAGATACTAAGCATTTACAGACAGATGACATAAAAAAAAAAACCTCTTTGCCACCAAACATAAGAAGCAGCCTGACTAATACTGTTGTACTGGGCTGGCTGATCAGCATTTAAGTGAAATGAGTTCCTGAAGTAGAACTGATTTGGTGTGTCCTTGTGTTGTCAGTGCAGTTTCTTTGACTAAGTGAAACACCTCAGAAATACTGTACATAAAAGAAAATCCATGCCTTAAATTTTATCAGAAACATCAACAAAAAACAACTGGAAGACAACTGAGATGTCCTTACCAGAATTTGCCATCCACTTACGGTCCAAGAAAAGGTCATTTTTTGAAAACGTTTCAGAGCAGAAAACTTGCTCAAGAATACTAAGGTAGTTGCAACATTTGAGCTACTAGTTAGTCTCATTTCTGTCCTGAGGGAGGAAATACACCCATGGCAGCCGGCATACAGAAAAGAAACTAAGTATTTGATTTTACTCTGGGTGTTTTCCATGCAAAAAAAAATAAAAATAGGTCAGGCATTAATTAAAAACGTAATCTCATCACAGGTAAAAATGTCTTCACACCACATTCATGCCTGTAACATACTTTAACCCATACTGTATTAACTTGCCCTTAATTCTTGTTATATTTACCCTTAATAAAAAGCATGGGACATAGATACGTGCCACAGAACCCAACCTCTCTCTTGACTACTCAGCCTAACGGTTTTGTAACACAATATTTTCTGACCTTGCATAAAATTAGACACACCACTCAGTATAAATAAACTACAGGATACGTTCTCAGCTATCCCACAGTATTTCACTGGTTTTGAACGATACTTCACTAAATAAGATTAAAAGAAAAAAGATAATGATTACTTAATGGGAAAAATATTTTTACATACGCAGTGCAAAAACAGTCATTATTACATACTTATGGTTTTTAACATTTAGAAAGTCTTAAATACGTAATCTAACAGTGACTTGGAGAACCATGAGTCTTGATATGTTGTTTGGGCAAAAATGCTGTGCATCATTCCCCTCAGAACAGATTTTGTAGCAGCAGTGCTGCTGGGAGCAGCTTTCTGTGGGCAACTCTTCAGCTGAGTCAGGCTGAAATCCTGTCGATAACTTCCTACGCTGTCTCCCTTCACCACACCACCACGCCTACGTGTTCGTGGTGAAGGACTATCATCTGTCTCTTGATCAGACTAAATTTAAGTATAAAGTTAACTTCCATGCTCAAGGAATAGTTTTTCTGCCCAGTTAGATGCAAAGAAGAGAGAAGCAGACTGGCAGTGCTGCCTCAGCCCTCTTGAGCTCTCCTTTCTTCTCAAAGGTTTCTTGTTTGTTTAACCAATTAAATAACAACATGCAACTTTTCACATTTCACTTACAGCACTTTTGCTGAGCAAGTCACTGAAGAGAGGCTGGCTTGGCAAGGTATTCAGCGACAAAACACAGATCCCATCCACAGAAATGTGAAATCTGAACTATTCTTCTAAAAGAATCCTATAACTGAATTAGCTCTGGGTGCAACCAGGCTCAGAACATGTAAGGTTTGGATGACATCAGTTATACATTCTAGTGACAAGAAAAAAAAAAAATTCATTAAAAAAATCTTTTCCCTTCTTTGCTGCTTCCAGGCAGGCAGCCTACCAGAATGCTTCAACACTTGCTCTCAGGAAACAACAAAAAAAACCTTAGCTTCTCCTCCAAAACAAATAGTTGCTTTCAAAATGAAACGTAATTGATCTAAGGGCTGAACAACAGACAGGAACACATAATGAAAAATCTCACACAGTACTGTTTTTTCCAAGGAGATGCCAGAATGGGTAGGTGTTTAGTAACTTCTTTTCTCTCCTCTATTTCCACACCTCTTTTTTCAATTCTATTAGAGAACACCACAAACCCATTTCCTCTACTCCCTCTCACACAACTTGAGAAACATACTTCGAGCTCCCTTTAATCACAAGGTGCAAGCTGACAAGACAAAAGTCAAAGGGCTCTTACCAGATGTAGCGTAAAGATAAAACTGGGAACTGACAAACGGAAAATTATCTTCTCGGAGACTGCGGTTGGTAACTCTTGCCAGATTTAAAGGAACAGAGTTATGTGGCACAAGCTGCTTCAGTGCTATTGGTGCTGCTGCCACCTGCCTCCGCAAAATCAACCTGCACAACATATATTCAGGATTGTTACAATTAATAGTTTGCTTACCTGCTTACAAACAAGTCATTTGAAAGTCGTACTCCAAGGTGTTTCTTATGTCAATAATCAGAACGCAGATCACAGCAGCTTAAACAGTGTACATTGAGATTTATTAGAACAAGCACTAATAGCAGCAGTGTACAGAGTGATGGAGACAATGTACTGTATGCATTGAACAATAATAATTATACAATTGCACTTCTTCAGAGATCTGTTAGAAAATGCTTTTCAGTAAACAGTTTCCCAAATCTAGCATTGTTTGGATTTGCCTCTGAGGAAAAAAATACAAAAAATATGCTTTTTTTGGTAAGGCATTAGCAACATTCATTGGCAGGCTAAACAAGTCATTTGTACATGCATTATCCAATTACAATGCAACAGGTAAAAGAGCATCATGTTTCCTCAAAATCTAGAAATGCGTGTGTGTCTTGGACATGATATCCTGGTAAACCCGGTTCAGATGGAGGAAACAGATGACATCTTTTGTTACATTTTAGAGCACAACATAAACTACAGCATAGCCAAGTTCACTTTTATTTCCTACCAGAAGCTGTAGGACTTTCCTCAGTTGGAGTTGATATCATGGGTATTGTCTATACCACGTAAACCACTGGAGTGAACTCCCAATTAAATTCTCTTGTTCACTATTGTCCCATCATCCCTTCCCTGAATCACATGGCAAACAGATGCTCCTGTTGCCAAGGAATCGCCACCAACACCCACTGCTGCATGAGCCTGTAATTTATTGCACAAGAGGTAGTCAGCACGAGGCCTCATCTGCATTCAGACATATTATAACAGCATGATCAAAACCAACTCACAAGTACAAAGACACAGGGCAAGTGCGTTGCAGCTGCACTACATGGGAACTTAAAACTGCCATCTCACTGCTCCTTCAAAGGTCAAACCTAATTGCTAGCCAGAAAGTTGCTAGAGAACTCAATATAATAAGCAAATAGCAATTTTACTGATGTGCTAAAGCCTAATAGGAGAGGAAGGGAGGCACTTTCTCATGTTCATGCCTTCCATGGGCTGAGACTGGAAACATGCTCTTAGTTAGACACTCCTTCTCCACAGGTCAGAGAAAGTAGCCTTTCCCTACAACCAGCATGCAGTACCAGCAGCCCCCGCTCCAGGCTGGCACCAGCCTGTGGAGCACAGGCAAACGGAAAGGAATCACAAATATTCCTACAATTCAGCTTGCCAGAGTGAAACATAACATGATGAATTGTCATTGATCTGATCCCCTGCTCTTTCTCTCAAATGTCATACATAATTGATCTATGCAGAGACACATAATTGACTGATCCTTAAACACTGCACCAAAACGTGGTTCCAAAACACAGTAGAGTCAAAATAAAGTTAAATATATTGCTCTGATTGGCAAGCAGTCAAACCAGCTGCATTTCACACATGGATCTTTCATGAGACAGTGCACACATTCAAAATTACGCTGAACACTCAGGCTTGACTATATAGTAGGCCTGACGCCGCAATACATTTGAGCAGCTGGACCATCCACTCCTCTAAAAGTTCACTGGGGTCCATAGAATACCAATAGGAGCTCAGCCTCATCTGCACATATGCTTATTTGTCTGAGCACATAGGAATTAAAAATTAAGTGTTACAAAACTACTAAACTGGCTACTGGTGTAGCCAGGTATGTTGTTTTGATTTCTTTCTGATGAGCCTTTTTATTTGAACTTCTGCATCTACATCTTTCTAACTGAATTCAGTGAGACCACTTGCCAGGTGTACCTTAGGGACACACCGATGCCTGCTCAGTCCAAGAAGGTGAAGCTAAAAAAATTCTGGCATGCACATTACTGTTTAACTCTTGTATGTGAAATCAAAGTCTATTCAAATTATATCTTATCTATATTATTTCTCAATTGTTGGTGCTTGATAAATTTAAGTGCTTTTATAGGCATAATCATAGTCAGTATTTGGAGAACAGAATTAAGAAGATGTAAAGAATCATCATCCTGAAAGATCTCCCAAAATTGCAAATTATCAAGAACAAATGAAGACACATTTGCAGGATGGCAATCAAGGATTTAAAAAGAAATAAATAAATTACTGAATGTATGATGAAGGACTACATTTAAAGTTTTAAAAATTGCAAGACTTTAAGTAGCTTTACAGCTTTCAACATAAAGATTCGCACTTCAATTTTCTGAGTAATTTCAAAATTGCAGTACTGACTTCCTTTCCCCACTATCTTTTTCTCCTTCATCTCCTTATAGAAGTGAATTTCTCAGCAAAAAATGAGGCGTGGTTTAACACTGCATTGCTCAAAAGTAGTGCTTTCTGCAACATTTTTGTAGCTGGAAGCACAAATACTTCTTGCTTTCTTTTTTTTTTTCCACGTAACACTTCTCTATTCCTTTCAAACAACAAATTTTTGTCTGGTGCATCAAGGTACACAGACCCTCCGCAGTTACAGTCGAGTCAAAATAAAGTCACAGTCTGCAGTACTTAAATATAGCAATGACTCTGTATGTTGGGTTTCCTAGAAAGCAACGATTTGCCTTTAAAATTCATCTTAAAAAAAAAAAAATTCTGAAAACATTTCTAACTAGCACAACAGTTTAACCACAGTAGAAAGACTCCAAGGACATCTGTTCACAAGGATATTACATAAAGGTGTAAAAAAAAAAAAAAAAAAAAAAGATTTTTTTTTCCTCAAGTAGGTGCAGGGATATGGAAATTTAGCAAATAATGCCCTTCTAGCTATTCTTTTTACATTTTTGTTCGCTGTTGCTGGGCTGCTTCCCATTTGAAAGTAAATGCTGCTAAGAGTAACGAAGCTCAGAAAGCAATGTGAAATTGGCAGCTAATCTAATCCTTACTTCTCTAATGGCATTCTCAGTGTGAGCAATCTGCAAGTACTGGAATTCATTACAGCAAAAAAGTGCTATGTTATTTCCAATTTGTATCAACTGTGGAAAACAATGAGAGAAAATACACAGTTCTCTGTTGAAATGCTAAGAAATTACAATTATAATCATACAAAGGGCAATCGACACAGACCCAAATAAGAAAGCTTGCTACTGGTTACAACAAAGCAGATATACCTAATCTCCTAATACAGAACTATCATAATGATCTCTCTGGATGCCACAGTAGTTTAATGTCTTCTCATAGGCTAAGCAAAGCATCTGCTCCAGTCAACTAGTAGTAACTGTTAAAGAGCAAGCAGTTCCTTACACATTTTACTGAAGGAAAAGAATTCAGACATCAAATGCTAACACCTTGCTTTCTCACTTACTACAGATACAAGTCAATACACAAAGGAAGATTCTCATCCAGAAAAACCCACTAACATTTCTTTTTGGTCCAAGCAACATCTTAGTGGAAAAGTAAAAGACCTGAACAAAATACACGCGAGAAGAACCATCCTTTGTCTGTGGAGCTGCAAACACCATTTCATTTTCAAAACTCAAACCTGATATGCAATTAGTCATTGGTAAGGAATAAATGTTTGAAAATAATTAGTCGACAAAAAGAACAGAGCTTTTGTTAATTATAGCAAAAGCTTAACTAAGCTATTAATTGCAATCTTTGCATTTACGCCTGCAAACCAGAATATATTCATCAACATTTCTCAGTTCCTAGTCACATCTTAGATGAGACTCAGCTGAATATAAAATTTATTCTGATGTGAATTTCTTATGATAAATGCAAGCCTCCAATGAATACCATCCACATTTCTTTGAAGAACGGAATACACCTTATGTTAGAATGATAATCTTCACCTTTAAGATGGGTGAAAATGCAGATTTTAAATTTTTATGTACCATTTCATTATTGATGATTTGATCTCCAAATATGTATGTTAAATATTAGGCAAATACAATGATAATTTTGTATCACTTGATTTATTCAACATAGTTAAGAAACGTATCCTGAATTCTCCTTCACCCACAAAATACTGATGGGTTAATCCAAACTGAACTTTTAAAATGCTATTGTAATATTCCTGTTGAAGTAAATTTACAAAAGGTAGAGGACTATGAGATAAAGGAACAGACAATTACGAGAAAAGAAATCTGAATTTCCAGTCCGACTGCTTCTGACTGTTCTCAGTGGACATGAGAAACCAGCCCAACAGACTCCAGCTGCCAGACATGCAATCACAAATAGTAAAACAGTTCCAGAAAAAAGATGTTGCATTTGTGGCTAAACTGACTGGCACAAGGAAGAATTGCTCTGTTTGAATATTTGCGTAACGCTTTTATCATGAGGATGCCTAGAGTACAAACAATTAAATCATCCACCTCCACCATTTTGAAAGACTGCTTACCTCTTCCCATTTTGCATTCCTAATAGTTTGTGACAGCAAGATTATAGCTTAGCATAAGATATGCCTCATCCATGAACACAGATCATTAGATTAGCAGTAAACATGGAAATGTTTTTTTTAGTGTTTCATGGGAGACAACATGTGGTTCATGGCTCCAGGGATATGAATAGGTATCCTTACTATTCATAGCTCAGGACAGAATATATTACACACTGCTGAGTGGTGCATATATATCCCAACTTTTTGATTTCCGTATTTATAAAATCTCTAACTCTTTTGTCCATGTTACCAATATCACTTCAGACAAATATTGCCTACAGTCACTTTTATTTATAAATGGAATAAAATTTCTTTTTACCTTCAGAATCAATTCTGAGCAAATGTCACCAATCCTCCCTTTTCTCATACTGTCATGGAACACTAGAAAGAGAAATGGTATTAACAACCTGCCTGAAACAGATTTAACAGCTGCTATGACATTTTAATCTGCAGATGCTTGAATTTTTTCTGTTCTGCTACAAGGATGCCGCTGACAGAACTGATGTCTCTGGTTCCACTGCTCTCCATTGTAGTCTCTCCCTTCTGAAGTTTGTCAGAGATCACAAGGGGAAAAAGACATAGTGGGTTTAATATTAGAAAAAAACCTGACAAAAGAGGGATGTATATATATATATATATAAAACACCTAAGGATCAATTTCTTTCTGACGCTTTTTAAACTTGCAAGATGCCATATAGAAATTCCCCTAAGGAGGTTTTTATAAAGAGGCTCCTCAAGTCAGCGGAAGAAGGATGGAATGTACACCAAGATACTCAACAAAAGGTTCTATATGCTCAAGTTTAAAGAACTTTTGTGATTAGACCCTTTACACTGCATAATGCAAAAAATAAAATCAACTGCTGTAAATAAGCCTTTTCTTTGTTTTAACTTAATGAGATTTATAACATTCCTGTGGTGCCATACCCTGTTCTGAGGGAGTGCAAAGAGATTTTAGGGAGATATTCTCCTTATTAATAATTAAATTTTAATTAGCACAGTCTAGATTCTTCTCTCTAAAACAAAACAAAAAACAATTAAACAGGAACAAAAACGAACAGGAAAAAACACATCCTTTCTCCATGAAACTTATCTTCTGAGTGATACCAGAATCATAATAAAACTAATCAGGATTGATGAAGTAGAAAGTACAGAAACACAGAAATAGTTTTATACTGAATGTTCCTTTAGAATTTTGAGCAGATTAACAACAACGAAAGAAATAGTTGCAACTGTATCTCTGACCACCTTGACTCCCAGCAATATATGTTCAATTTTGAGGAGCATTACTTAATGACATCCAAGATGAAAATGCTAGATAGCAGCCCCAATAGCTGCTCAGATAAGTAGTTAAGACATACCAATCTTTTAGCCTTCTCCAAGGAGTCTGTATAATACATGCTGACAGGTGAGGATGTTCCAGCGTTTGTTTTTTTTCCCCACACAATTCTGTGAATATCTTTTTCCCATAGCTGAACCAAACTCTCTTCAATATAACCCCTCAATTTCAGCATATGAATAAAAATACCCTTTTTCTTTACATTTAATCTAAAAATTCTTCATTTGCTTTCATTTTGCAAATCCAGAATTAGTAGGGACAACTACAATAGAGTTAATTCCTCAGACTATTGCAGCCAACGGCATTTAAAACAGTCAGTGCCCATCTATGCAGCAAACAATTCAAAATCCTATAAAACAAAGGCAACATACTAACCAAGCTTTGATAGCTAAAGGAAGGGTTTTTTTTTTTTTTTAAACTCGCGAAAAGAAAAAGAATATCCAGCCCTCTCAGTTACTGTGCATTTGCAAGTGAAGCTCTCCTTCCTCCCAAACTATCCTAAAGATCCAATTTTGGGTGGGGAAAGGAACGCAATGAGCAGGAATGCATGGCTGGGGTGCAAATCCTCACATGGAAGGGCAGGACCAATGCTGGTATGTATGTCCTGCAGCACTTCACATCTGCCTGGCACCTGCTGTTCAAGCAAAACTCACAAATGTCATAAATGCTCATTCAGATTCATAAGTTCAAAATTAGGGGGAAAAAAATGATACAAAAAGGTGTGACTGTATTTGTGAGATGACCAGAGTATTATAGAACGATCTAACACAAAAATATTTACTTCATGCAACCTGCATCTAAAATTAGAATGAGTGCTGATGTGACATTTTAATCACAGTGATACTATGAAAATCAACTCATATTCAAATGTTATTTCCAGCAAGGTAACAGTTTCTAATAAGCAGGAAAATCTGCTATCTTGTTAATATGCATCTAATATAGGAATGTAGTTATTGAAGTCTTTGTAAGATCACACAGCTTTTGAAGGACATAGCTATCGTTGCCCTATCATATCCACAGTATCAGAACAAGGAAGAAAATGAAGTACACTTTAAAGTATTAATTGACAGTACATTTCACTACTGCAGAACTGAAGCTTAAGGGCTGATTACTTTACATAGAAGTATTTAAAGAAAACAAGAAAAAGCAAGGGAAACATCTTTATATTGAAAGCTGAACTCCTGTTTCTAAAATGTGAAATGATTGACATTGATTTTCATCACAAACCAAATCTGTAGCAATTAAATCTGCCTAGCAGGTAAGTACCTTTTATGCCCTTGTAAAGGAAGCATTGCCCGGCTGAATGGAACAAGGTGGGCTGGAAACTGCCCAAATCCTCAGGCTTGAAGGGACCAACCAGCGGCTAAGACCCTGCTGGCAGCCTGCAAAGAGGGGTCAATTTGCAGTGCACATAGATGAATATCTCATCAACGACCTGGGCAAAGAAACATACCACAACCCAACATGTTGTCACAGTGTCCAATCAAGTTTGCAGGAAAAATTAGATTTTTTTCACAGAGCACAGAGAATTCTGTACTGTAGGAAACAGCTTATGGCACACCTGCTGGCACTGTTAGGATTCTAATAAAGACAGAAGAAATCCTGCAACGCTTTGTAATTCCTTTAGTTACTAGTTAACTAGTTTAACATTCAGTTAAATTAATACTCCATAGGTTCAAAGAGTGCCTTCAGTAGAAAGATTTAGTGTACCATTTTTTTAACTCTAAAAAATTGAATGCTAATTTTCTTACAATGAGTATCAGATAAACAATTGCAAAAGAATAATTAAGTGATAGCATCTTCAGTGTTAACCAAGTTTGCATTGCAAGGAATGCTATTCATGAAACACTATCAGAACACCATAAAACTAAATACCTTTTCTTTTTTAATTTAAATACAGAAAAAACTCAAAAAACAAAAGAGGACGTAAGTTCTGTCCCTCAAATATACCTGCAGATATGCATACATAATACTTTCCAATGCTGCAGCAAACTGCACAGAGACTGAAGCATGAGATGGGCAAATGCTTAATAGTATATTTCATTTTAAAAAGTGACTCAGTATAATCAATCACTATTTTGCACATAGTGTGCCAATTTGTTTTGTAGCATAACACCATTAGAGCAAGTATGTTGAAGTCAAACAAATACAATTAAAAAAACCCAAACCTTTATATATCTTAATTTTTTTGTAATAACAAATGTAGAACACAAAAAAGAAGAAATCCAGTTCTGCTGAAGTAAAAAAGAAAATTACATCATTCATTAATTAAAATTTTTCTTTGGAAGAAATCCCGGTAATCTGCAGGGTTTTTTTATACCAAGTATTCATAATTCTTTAAAATTCAACTTAATATTTTATTCAGGTTTTCATATTTCTTCCTGGTAAGATGAAGAAACTGGGATTCATTAGTAGCCAATTGTTCTGCTTTATAAACAAAGGGAAGAACTAAACGCATATTAAGTAATCAAACTGATGTCAGCTCTGCAAAAGCAAGAGGCAGGGGGAGGAATAGGTACATATTGTATTGCACTGACAGCTGTCCTTGTAGCATTTCTGGCAGTCACATAGTAAGCAAATTTTTTTTTTTTTAGGTCTCATTATTGGAATCAATTTTAAATAGGAAAAATTGTATGCATTATGTATGCTGTTTACATGCAGAAAGTAATACAGAGTCTACTTATGAAATCTAACCTGGCATCAGTAAGTGGATGTGTAATACACATATAAATGAAAAACTAGATCATACCATATGGAATGCACATTTTACCAAATAAAATTATGCTTTTTCTTTTAAAATCTGCCCTACTACTGTTCAGTGTTTCAGAGATTTTCATTCAGAAAGTGCCAAACCATCTCCTACATACATCTACTGAGGCTTACCAATATGTAAGAGTCTTGGTTCTTAATCAAAAATATAGAGTCACTTTCAGAAAAACTGTAAAATATAATTTTGCACAAAAGCTATTTTGGCAACACGAGTAGCAGAAGGTAGCTACAAAGCACAGGAGCTTCTGCCCTACTCTCAGATATAAATTTAGATGCAATAAGTGGCTGGGGAAAGAACAGAGCCAGTAAACAGCATGTGTGGAAAAAACTATCACATTTCATTTATGGTACGATCCAACCTCTGGAGCGAAGCCAGAGACTTTCCCATGAAATCTTTCTGTGCTTTAACACTGTTGCAAAGCTTCAGGGAATCCTAATTGCATAAGCAATTATAGGGAAATGAATTTGCTGCAAGACCATGTTCGCTCAGTGGTAAAAGCAACAAATGCATCTGAACATTAGCCACTTAAAATATGAATTTTCTGACTAGCCACTCATATGCATTTACCAAAATAGCCTCAATTTTAACTCATTAGCAGCTTCTTTTTAGTCTGATTATACAGTCAGCTCCCAATAGCTAAAGCATGTACAGTAGATCTTGTTCCTCTGAAATACAGTTAGATGTTTGGCTGTCTTTTGATTTTAAATAATACAGGTTCTCCAATATTTATATCACGATAAAATCCTAGTGCTTTAAAAATCTGCCCTTCACACAAGCCTAAGCATATATATTTTAAAATGACTTACTGTACATCTTGGTATTTTCTTTAAGGCATGAACAATGGCATATGAATGGGAACAGCTTTCAGAAAAGCATGTTTTGACAAGGCCCAGTCCAAGCACAGGACACCAAAGGACTAACCTGAAGCCAGAAATGACAGTGTGATGACTCAAAAGATTTTAACAAAAATAGTTGAAACAAAATGGATTTTTTTCTGTTTTTCTTCCTTTTTTTCTTTTAATTTAAATTACATTACTCTTAATGTCTGTTTAAAGCACCGATTGCAGTTTTGTATTTACCGCCTCCTCCACGTGACTTTGGATAACTCATCTGCTTCTCTTCTGAATTTTCATTGTATGAAACTTCAAAAGGTTTTTATTTGTTCCTTTTTCTTTCTTTTTTTTTCTTTTTTTTTATTTTTAATGGCTGCTGCAAAATTAAAAAGATCCAGAAGTGGTCAGGGGCCTGGTCTAATGCACTTTCAAAAGTCCATTATAAAGATGAAAATAAATGCAAATGATAGGTTTTTCCATAGACCCACAAACCACACTTATCTATAAGAAACATATTGTGCATAGTTATTTTTTTCTTCAGAGAGTTGATATGTTTACTAGATCTACATTCTCAGTTTACCAGAGTACAGGAATTTCTACTTTACTAAATCCCGGATCCTTTCGCAGTTCCCAGTAGGTTTCATTGGTAACCCAGGCTTCTCTTTGATTAGCATCAATAACTTTTCTATAGAAGAAAAAAAGAGAGGGAAGTCTGATATCAAATTTCTTCTCCTATACAATATGCAATCAATAGCATATCTCTCTGATCTAACCATAACATTTCATTAATCACACATCAGGCCTTTTTCAGTCTCACCACTTTTGATTCTTCATGGTGTTCGGAATGGGTATCCATTGTTTCAAAAGACTGCTTAATTAAAAAAAACTCCCTAAAAATTTAATTGTAATTGTGTATATATATATACATTTATATCTACATTATATATCCGTGTGTGTGTACATACATTGTTTTTGTTTATTTACTTATTACTTTGTCTATGCAATGACTTACAATAACTTAGCTAAATCTTAGTTTCTAAGAGCTAACAATGATGAATGTTAACAGCTCCTAGAATGTTATACTTCTACCCCATTTTAAACTTCAAAAACTATTGGCTGTGCGGTGCAGTAATTCATTCAGACACAGCACAGCAAAGGTTTACTACTGAAATGAAAAGACTCACTTAAAAAACTTGGGTACATATTCAATGCTGTTTTCTTCCATGTACCGCCTCCGACTTCTCTGGAGTTCTTCTATTCTTTGCTTCTCTGATGCTGCTGCTTCTATATTTCCTTCCTCTAAAAGCCTGTATGGATAACAGCTATCTTATAGCAATCATACTGTATCTGAACAAGGAATTTTCTAGGACTGTTCATCACAAAAGACTAGTGAAAACCATGCTCCTTGTCTTTGCTATACCCTCTGTAAGATCTAATCATAACCTCAGAAAATGGGAGTGACTGATACTCGACTCCCCAGTTGCAGGTAACTGCCTTCCAGCCTTAGGCATACAGTATCTCTAGTTACTTCAGTGTATCACAAACATTGAAGTAGTATGAACTGAGAATTAGGAGGGAATTCCCATTGCCTCCATTCACAGCTGCAGGGCATGACATTTCAGAGCATGTAATTCCAGCCTGTTATGAAGAATATTACCTTCGACTAGAAGACCTGTACAGTATACTAAGCAGGTACCTTCGACTAGAAGGCTTGTACAGTATACTAAGCAGGATGCTTTCTATTTTCCTTTCCTTCAATTGAGTGAAGCAGAAATTTGACTTCACTACTGAGTACCTTCAGAGCTAGGAGAATTCTCCAAGTCCAGACTGTGCACAGACAAAAACCAATACTCAGTCAAATGCACCCTTAGAATCACCAAATATTAAGTGCGTAAATAAGCATTCTTGCCTTTGATCCGGCCTGAATCGTGCATCTGTTGTTGGAAGAAGATGTTTCAGTACAGGATCTAATTCATTGAGCTCAATAGCAAATCTTGTGAAGCCATAATACCGTTCATAGTTGGTTGGCATGGAGCCTGTATGTATATGCATGACAAAGAAAAACACTCTTTTTAAACTGCTAATATAAACATGCAAAATATTTATGTATTTATTAAATTGTAAAAGCAAAAAAATATTAAAATACTTTACTCTTACACACAATTAAAAAGTATCAAAAGGCATTCTCTAGATAGATCAACATGCACTAAAATACTAATTTCAATTGCTTATCCTGTATAGCTTGTAATTACCTGCTAGTAGATTCAAAGCTTTCATGATCCTTCCTTTTTAAATAAAAATTACTGTTCTCAAGATTTCCAAGTGAAATAACTTCCTGTTCCCACGCTTTTCAGATGCATATACAAAAGCCAATCCTAGCTAAATTGCTGTGTTAATTTTGGACCGTATACTCATGCAAAGTCTGACTGGGCACTGTCCTGAAACTTCAGCATTGATAGCCATCAGAGCATAGCAGGCACAAAACATTATCAATTATGACAGATTCTGGATAATCACTCTTTACATATGAAAAATACTACACTTGCAAAGGAAGAGTAATTCAATGGTAGAATTTCTAAGCAAGCAATAACGAAGCTGAATTCAGCTTCTGAAATCACAAGAGCTCACTATCTCTGAAGACAAATCCTTCAGTTTAACAGAAGACTAAATTTGGTAACATGGCCCTGCTCTCTTTGAGAAAGTAGTCATGCAGACCTAGATATCCAAATATTTTCTCAGTTTCATTTTTATGTTGTCTCCAGCACCCAAAAGGATTTCATCAGAAGTCAAACCAAGATGTAGACTGAGCCATGTAGGAGATTTCCATTTAACTTCATTATAAACACCTGTAAAATCTTGTTCACTTGTTTAGCCAAAAACATATTTCCCCAGTAGCATTTCATGTACTTACAATGATTGCTCAGAGTGCTTTACACAGTTTAGAAATATATCACGGTGCCTGACAGAGTTTATCACAAGCTTCTTACCTGGCCTCCACACGCATTTGGCTGAAGGTGCTACACCACAATAAAGACCTTCGTGCCACTTTCCAAAGAGGCGATGCACTACCTTCCCTTCTTGATCTATCACAACTCCCTGGACTTCATTTACATTTGAATTCCAGTAGTTTACCTGCAAGTTTTATAAGGAATTACTACTCAGTCACCACATCACTCATTGTGCCAATTCCGACATTGCATGAATCTTAATGTGTCACCAACAGTCAAAATTTTACATCAGAATTGCTCACCAAGAATAATGGTATTCAAAATTTGAATGATCTGAATATTAACTGTGATAGTGTATGGGAAACCTTGAATGACTCGATAACCGGTTTTGGTATAAAAGGTATCTAAGTTCAGTTAATTACCTGCTGTACACTGACCTGTTTTTATTTATGACCCTTGCCTGGTTATTAAAATAAAAGGAGCGAAGGCATTACTGAAGCCAAAGAGATAAAAGTGGTGGCCAAGTTCTAGCAAATGCAGATGGCACAGAAGTCTATCCAGTGAGCTTGCATTTCCATTGTAATAACAGAAATTTTGCTATTTCATTTTTAAATGATTTTCATTAAAATCAACAGCAGTATAGCACACAGCTGTACAGCAATGTAAAATGCTGACATAAAGTTGACCAGTTCAATAGAAGAGTCATGCTGTTTGAAATAGCACTCTTATTTGATGATTTACATATTCACAAATGTTGATAAGTCAGAAGTGTAACATATTTCAGGAATATTGAAGGAACAGTCCTATACAAACTTAAGCTGTGCAGTGATATGCATTAGAATAAATGTGTTACCTTGACAAAGGTGAGTTTACAAATACAAACGCTGCTTTTTGTGTTCCTGATTGTTATCTCTCCATAGTGTTCTATCCACCTCCTTCCACTAAGGATATTATGTATGCAAGTAGTGACTTTGTTCCAGACATAGTAGTCTCCATACCTAAGAATAGATCAACAAGAGGTTAATAATGCAAATTAATCATGATCATCATGGAAAAAAAAAGTAAATCATTAACATAATTACCAGACTATATTCCTGAAAAACTTTTGTAACAATCGTTTATTTTATTAAAAGCATAAGTTCTGGGCATGTTATTAATCTTCCATGGAAAAGTTCACCTAAGCTCTAGTGTGGAGAACTGAAGAATGATGCTACAAAATACAAATAAGACATTATGAATCACTGAAGTCCTGCAGAGCATATTCACTGTCCTCAGAGCATTATGTGCTTCGGCTTCAGTTCTAGGAGACCTGGATCCAAAGATCAGTATAAGGTTGGATTTAGGCCAGAGGCAGACAAATCAATTAAAATACAGATAGAACAAACTAAATATGGAAAGAAGAAAACAGAAGTGAAGTAGGCTCACTGGTACATTTTCTCTTTTCCTCTGTCGAAGCTACTTGGAGTAAGAGCACATCTGTTGTCAGAGATTAAAATGGGTGAATGAAGCACATTCTCCTACAGAGCTGAGGGCCAAACATGTACACAGAAGACAAAGCTACTTCAGAATGCATTTACTTTAATTTGATGATATGATAAAGAGGTGGAGTCCCTAAGGATGCCATATGTTACAGGCAGAAAGAAAGGTGTCCCCAATTCAAAGGATCAAGAACAGAGTATTGCAGAACCTGCAGGCATGCTTAAAGTATCCTCTCCTAGCATATTCTCATGGTTTACAACTTAAAACCAATTTTATTTGTATTGAAACTCCTTCCTTAAACTATTTAAAATCAAACTGCATTTTTTGGCTTTCACATTTTGAAAATGACCTTCAAATATTAGTACTGGTTCTTCTGAGGCCATACTAGCAGTATTGAGAGCTTTAATATGAACAACGCTAGCTGAAAGTACTGTCAGCCTTGTTCTGAACAGCTGATCACTTCAGTGTCCCAACCTGCATGTACACACAAGAGATTTGAGCTACATGCTAACCCTCACCCACACAGTTCAATTCATGTGCCCTTTGCTTATCCTTCATCCAATCCAGTTACAAGGACGTACTGATTAGACTACGTCAGAAACCGAAACGAAATATAACAGTAGCTTACTTTGGAAGAGTCACATTCAAGGTTCCAACTGGAAGAATTTCCATTGATTTCCCCCAAAATTTGTTTTTCCACCTGATATCTGAATATAAAAGAAAAGATTTACAAAACCAGGAAGACTCAATTCTCCCTCTTGCAGGGATCTGCTGTACTACATCATTTACAATGGCATAGTATGAGGTTGCCATAAAATACAAAAAAAAGAAAACGAACAACTAGAGAATGGTATTAGATCAGAAAAGATAAAGTTTCATTTTCTTCTAGAAGTTATACCCGTGCTGTGCTGTCAAATCTCTCCTGAGACTATTCAATATAAATTCAATGTGTATGACAGTAGAGACAAAGAAATAAACATCTGCTTGTTCAACTCTGTAAAAATAAAAAAAAAAAAAAAAAAAAAAAAAAAAAAACCAAACAAACAAAAAAAAACACACACAAAAAACCAGCAGCTTGTGATTATAAGAAATAATTTTCTTGGTAAAAAACTTTTAAATAGAAATGTATAAACATGCTGCAAGTGACAAGAAAATGTAACACATCTACTTACTCTTAAGAATGAGAATTTTGAGTGAATTAATTCAAAGCATCAGTTTTTAATGTCTTACTACAGACTTTAAGTATAAAACTTAAATAAATACAAAGCTCAGCTTCTACAAAGTTTTTACTTGCTAGTAAAAAAAAAAAAAGTTCTGTGCTTTTTGATTATAAATGTATACCTTGCCAAAACACAAAGTTCTTCGATTCACAGTGGCAGGCTGAAATGGGAGGATGGTGGCTAACCTGAAAAACAGCTTGTCTGAGTTAAAAATAATTAATTTTCATTCCAAAAACAATACAACTGTTACTGCAATATAAAAACAGTAAGCAGTCCACACTACTAACTTGTTTTGCTATGAAACCAGATGACAGTTTAAGCTTCAGTTTTCCATTATCTGTTTAAAACACTACAACAGATTACTATAAAAACAGACACCTTCTAGGTATTTAATGTGTTCACTCATACTTGCTACCTTTCTTTACTATTAAGAAAACATACCATTTTAACTCAAAAGGAGGAAGAAGATCACTCTGTTAAACAAAGAAACCGAAAAATCAATACTCATCTAGAAACAAGCTTTACCTGCTCGGAGAAAAATCGAAATCCTTTGTCTTCTCTAATACATTCATAAGTTTCACCAAGCACAGGGTTAAACGGCTTGCTTCCTGCTCTGAAATACGTAGAGGCATAACCTGATGCTGCAAAAGCAGCTATGAGAACCTGTTGGAATACAGACAAGAACATAGGCTGAGATTCTTATAGTGTGGGATATCACATCGCAGAATTGTGGTACAATTTTTTTTCATGGTCTGTCAGTCTCTTCTCACAGGACCCTAAAACAATCTGTACAAGACACTAATTTCCACCTTTGATCAGGCTTATCACCCATGAGCTACAACACAGACGCAGCTACCCATGCTGTTTGTGAATACTGGATAATTCTAAATGACAGGATCAATTCTTCCCCATTAAATTTTCCCCCATTGGTACCCATTTTATTTACTGCTAAACGTGAAGAGCTCCCACTGAGGATGTCCTTCATGCTAAGGTATCTCACGATCTCCCTTGCATGGTCCACCCCCCTATATCTACCTGCACATTCCAACCTCTGAACAAGAGCCAGCTGGAGTAATATGCTAACTGACATGCCACATTAATTCAGATTGCAGCTCCAGTTAGCAACTGCAGTTCAAGGAATCATGACAGGCACGCAGATAACAAGCTCCTGGTTTTTCCAACAGCAGAGCAGAAAGCGGGCAACATTCACAGCACAGCCATCACTTATGGTCTGATCTGGGTAGTTCAGCATTTCTGTTTTCAAAAATTTCAGTTTTTGAAAGTGCTTCTGCTAGGGTGTGAAAACATAAGGTGCTTGTTAAGTTTGGCTTGTAACAGTTGCCCAGTAGTGCACTACATCTCAGTAGCAGATATGAAGATATTAATTCAATTTAATTCAATTTCAGTTGCACCATCTTTCTCTTCCTGAACCTCTTCTACCTCCTCTTCAAGCCCCTATCATAAGACAGGTACAAATTCTTCAGAAGTAAGGAAAAAACTCTAGCATTTAGAATCCCTTGCTCTCTTCAGCCCACGTGAACAGGGCAGTTAATGGACCCGAGTACCTGGCCACGACAAAAAGACAGGCCATCTACTGCCAGGTACTTGCAGTGCTGCGAGGCTGTGCCAAGGAACAACAAATATGTTCAGCAACAGTGCTGTCAAGTCCCTTAACCACCTTTCCCTGTCTCCCAAGAAGAAAAGACACAATATACACAAACATAAGAGCCAAATGCTGGCTGCTGGCTATCAGGTGAAAAAACACAGACATACCTACAGGGCAGATGGACCTGACCAAGCAGGGAGTTCTGTGTAATGGAAGACCAATAGAGGGTCCTGTATGGACCTTCACAAAACAGTTTCCTTTTTAATACAGACATAAGAAGTGCTACACTAAATTTATTACCATGCGTTCATAAGGATCATCCGTTTCAGCAGCCTTGTCCAAGAGTTCACTATATTCCAACTCTTCACAAAGATGTTGCAAGGTGTTCAGAGGCTCATTTAGCTCAACTGGCATGGATACTTTGGAAAGATCTTTACCAATGTTATTTCTCAAAATATTCCATAGATTGATGTTACTGGTGTCAGGGCTGGGAGCTGGGAGACAAGTTCGCCGTCCATTCCTGAACGCTCCTCCAGTTAGTTCACCATTGACAACTGGGAAGGGAGAAAAGTATTATCACAACATAGCACCACATTAAGAAAAACAGTCTTGGTGACTGAACTAAATTCACCACCAGAAAAAATAAGCCCAGCTTTACTGATTTCAGCAAAGTTGGTCTTGTACACAGAAGTAGCAAATCACAAAATCAACATAATTTGCCAAAGTTCAAAATGTAGCAGTATACTTTGCCGAGAAATGTCTGCAACACTGGTGTTGTCCTCAGATATATTATCACTCACATCACTGATATAAGATTCATCATCAGAAGCCTAAAACAAATAAAATACCAATTAATTCAAATGTATATAAAGTTTACTAAAAAATTATACACACAATTACTTGAAACAAAAATATTCAGATATATAATCGGCACACAATTAGAGATCTCAACTAAATCAACCAGAGGTTTCAGTCAGCCATATTTCCAATGCACCAACATGCTCTCTTTATGTTTCTGCATTGCTTATTATGAAGCCAAATACAGATATTACATTTACAAAAGGGTGACTCCAAATGAGATCAAAAGAACTAGAAAGTAACAGCATAACAAATAGGGGATAGGAGGTGAGAAGAGATGGTGAGACTTTTTTCATACAGAATCAAACATTAAAATGTACATTTCAGCAGACACAAATACAAACACTGACCTATCATTTTGAAAAACAAGAACTATATCAGTGTTAAAACTACTTTTAAAAATTTTGTTTAAACTTCTTTTCTTAGAACAATTAAAAAATTGTTTATCTCTGTCTGTCTTGTGCACATCTCCAACGGGATGCTGAAGTGCCAATCTGTAAATTATTGCAGTTAGCTCAAATACCATGGGAAAGTTGAGGGCAGCCACATGATGCAGGGTCACCTTTGAGCTTCAGTGAGTCACAATTTTTGACACTTGTCTACTTCTCTGACTACGGAGAATAACTTCAATATGATAGAACAACTTTGTTTTGTTTTATTTTTAATGAATACTTTAAAATCTAAATTAGTTGACCACATAGTCAGACCTAATTGCTGCAGTCATCTTTGCCTGAAACTGACACAGTCTACTAAGAACATGTAATGAACATGAATTATTGATACAACTTCCAGCTCAGTTTTAAATTTCAGAGAACCTCTGCAGCCCATCACAAACGAGTCTCAGGCAAATTTATCTAACCCTTATGCGTTCTGATACCTTTTTATTCTAAATGGCATTAAAAAATAACCATTCACTAGTGACATCAATACTTGAATCTTTCTGACAGCAGAGCTGCAGTACACTATCATAGCCTACCTCATTTTCTGACGAGCTGGCAGACAAAAGTACCTCCTGTGCATCAAAGAACTCTGACACTGATTCAGACATAGAGAGCCTGCTCTCATTAGAAACTTGCTGAGACAATGGCAAACTGACATGAATTTGTTCACCCGTCTGTAAATAATGCAGAGAAATATAAATATTACTTCTAATAATAAAGAAATACACATAAAAGTGGTAAATGACCTGAATATTTTTCTGTGTCACATAAAGGAAAAGACAGTAGAGATAATATTTTAGTAGGGTTTCTCGTGTACTCAATAAGCGAGGCTGGAACAATTACAAAATAAAGTGCAACCTGAGCAGTGAGATACATGTCTTCATTTAAAGCCTGCTTCTAAGCTGCACCTGCTACTAATCTTCAGCAGTGAATAATTACAGAGCTAGTTCTATATGCAAAGGAATGCTTTGGTGAACAATAGCTGCACTGTGTCAAATGAGCTCAACTATGAAATTCAAATGAAAGATACCTCATCATAACAACTAACAGTACTTGGACCCAGCTCCAAAAACTCAATAAAGCTAGGGAGTTATACATTACCTTCAAAATAAGTAGACTTGTTAACTAGTCTAGTAATAAATGTTTGAAAAGTTTGAATACCCAGAAAGATTGGCTACGTATTCCAAAATCTCATTTGAATTATGTGATTAACACTGATTCACAATTACTAGTGGGAATTAATTCTCTATGGTTTATTTTAAAGAGAATTGCAAATGCAAGAATTCCCAAACTGTGCTCTGTGGATATCAATTCAGGGGCAAGCTAATTTAAATAGTTCAACATTTCTTCCTCTTCTTATTTGATGAGAGAAATGCCATGTTTCAGCATGTTACTCTACAAGCTTTTAAAAAGGAGGAACAAAATATTTAAGCTTCTCTCTCTCTGAATTATTCCACTAAAGCAGCAGCTGCTGTGGAGGCAAACAGACTTCTTATTTAATCCCTTAATTTATACAGCATGTTTCTGGGATAATACAATGTGTTTGAAACACAGTTTCTTTTCATATTGGAATATTATCTCCATTAACCTTACTCCGGAACTCCTGCAAATCACTCTGTTGACACCTTCATCTTATTTCTATACAGGTGCCTCAAAATGCACTGACAATAAAAAAAAAGTCGCAAACAAGCCAGGGAGTCAAAAATTCATCCTTTTTAACTGAGGTTTATAAGCTTGTGGATGATTTACAGTGTTTGAATAATTATAATGGAAACAGCTCATTTCAGTGTTATCTTTACAAAAAGTACTTAAAATTTTAAGTTTCTGTATCAACCCAAGGAACATGGAAAGATACAAACAAAAGATGCTCACTAATGCGTATTCCATAAACTAAAGGTTATATTTACAAAAAAGAAAGAGAGATCTGGGATCCTCTTTGAAACTCTTTTTCAGTCAGACACACCTGTATGAAGATAACATATTAAAAAAGAAACAGCTAAGCAGCAAAAAATACAAAATGGAAGAGACAGTCATTGCTCAGAACTTCACTGTCAGCTGCTTCAACCACAGGTTGTTGTGCCCTGGCACTGTGTCACCTCCATCTTCTCTTTGTCAGTCTGCAGCATTCAAAAAATGGGATGTTTTGAAAAATCAAATAAAGTAACCAGAAACAGATTTTCACTTGCCTTTCTTCTTGGAAAAAAAAAAAAAAAGGGAACCACAGTATGTTAATTGAAATGATGTATGCATAAAAAATAATGAATGGAAGTGACAGATGTAAAGTATTTCAGTAAAATGCAAGCAGAATTGCTGTCAAAATGACAGTACTAACTGCAACATATTAGAGGTCACAAATTCAGATCTTTCCTTCTCACAAGGGAGACTGATTTGTAACACATTTGATTATCCGTTGACTGAAGAAAGCAAGACGTTTAGTATAGTGCTTGGTTCATGCACTGAACCCTTTGAACACTGCTCAAGATATTAAACCTAATCACTTGCCATTAGACACTACACTACTCTATTGATTTAGCAAGAGACGATACAGAAATAGTTACCTACTGTGTTATTGTGTGTTACATTACAGTAAAACCTCATTAATTCCCACAAAGCTGCAACCCCTCCCTATTTCTCTGCAGAGAACGTAGTTCTTCCGTAAGCCCTGACATATGCAAAGACAAAAGTTCAAATTTTACGTAGAAAAAGTATGGTCTGAAAACATCTACAGATATCCAATTTCCAGCCTGAAAGATCTGATAATCTGTTTTAGCTATTAGTGAGGAACAGCAGGGTTTGATCATATTCTAAACCCATTAAAGGCTGAAGTCTTACCTCATCAGGGCTAGGGATAATATTTACACTGACAACCTGATCACAAATAACAGATTCTGAATGTATTCTGTTCAAGCGACTCCTTAGTTCAGCATTCTGGTTGAGAGCCTTAAAATAAAAATTGCACATTTTACTTACAAATTTTAAAAAGTGTTAAACAGCCAAAAAATATTTTTTAAAAAATCTTAACCTCAAAAACGTTGTAAAAAAAGTCACAGAGCCCAATTTCTTTCATTTATAAGCAAATACCCATTTCAAGGCCCCCTATAACATCATTTCATCTTTTCACTGGCTTGCTTTCAATTATTTTCTAGGGTCAGAGGGCACCGATACCCTCCCACAATTTAAGCTGCGTTCTACCTTAATTGTTCAAGTAGCTCTTCAGTAGCTATGCCAGCAGCTTACGAAACTGCAGAACAAAGAAAAGGAACCAACTGCAATATTCTTGATTTACGGCTCAACAGCACTTTCTGAACGATAGTTATCAACTCTTAGAGCCCACAGAAGGAAATTGCTTGCTTTTCAGGAGAAAACAACAAAAATGACTAGTATCACTGGACGTCTGCCTGTCCAGACCAAGCTGCTGTATATGCATGTGTGTGCTCACAAAAAACTATGGACCACAAAATAAACCGATGCCAGTAAAATGGTAAATGGTGCCTGGTATCTGCTAATCTTCCCCCTCCTTTAATGCCCAAGCTAGATTATAAACACGGGTGCATATACACATTGCTTGATGTCTAGAAGGACGTGACTACACGCAAGTTGAAATCCAAAAAAGCATAACGTGTTATACACCCAGAACATGAATTGACATAAACCTAATGTATCCCTCACACTGGGAATTACAGAACAGCAGACATACTGTTGTAGTGGGCAGTTATTGTTCCCACAGTCACAATCTTTCTGCTCCTGTCCCTGGAACAGATTACATGATCGCACTGAAACAATGTAGGATCAAAGTAAAACAGGTTTTAACAGTCACTGAAGACAGTTTAAACTATGCCATATTGCTTTGTTCTGAAATGACCTGGGCATGTTCACATGGAAGGGAAAATGTAAGGTAAGACCACTAACATCAACTGGGCTGTAGCTTCCTAAACTGCCAAAACCTGGTCAAGAGACTGACTATGCTAACCTTCCATTCACTGCCCGTTGAGACAGTGAACTGATGAGTGACAGTGATTTTTAGACTGACACTGGAGACCACGAACAAGAGTAACATACCACCATCTATTTTATACCAGCTGCTAGCAAGTTTCCGCAACTCCTGGTTAAATTTGTATCAGTGACAATAAATGGTTACTGTTATATTTTGGCCTTAATCTTTCTTTACTGCCATATGCAGTAATGAATCTATGTAACATCACACATCTATGTCTATAGAAGCATTATGTCTCAGTTTTAATTTCACAGCAAAAAAATACAACTCAGTAACAATAATAATGCATGAAATTGTCTTCACTTTTGGGTCAAGTTCTATTTGCCCCTACATCTCTGCTGTCATTTCTTGCTTGCACAAGCTTTTCTAAATTGAAACACTGGAGTTGTTTTTCAACCTGAAAATACATCTCACAAAATGGTGTAGGGTACTCCATCAAAGCACTTACTGTTGCTCCATCTCTTCTGCCCAACTAAAGCCAATGACAAACTTCCCTTTAGCTTAAGTGGGAGAAACAGGTTCGGATTTGAAAATCCTGTTTACCCATGATTATTCTTTAACACATAATTCCTTTTGTAGTTGGAGACAAGGACATATAAAACAAATCTGAAAATACACAGTCAAAATTTAAAACAATTAAAAAAAACTAGAGTACCTCCTTGAATGCGCTAGAGACGGCGCCAAAAAAGATACCTATCTTTCCCATAAAAATTGTTGATACTCTTATTTTCCCTTGGAAAACTATAATAAATACATGCTTACAAAAACAAAAAACGATACATATCCTCCACATGCACTGAGGTTGGACCTATGTTCTCATGTCCACAGCAGAATATATGCCATATTTCTGGTTAAGAACCTTGTTCTCTTGGCTTCCCCTACCTCAGGGAATAGCCAAAACAGAAACAGTGCATCTGGCAAATCAGCTGAGCTTGCAATCAAATCAAGAACATACCTGAGAAAGGGACTGTCTGAGGTGTGCTATTTGAGCATTGTGACCTGTAAGATCCTGTTCCGAGACGATCTGCTTAAGCTTCTCCTTCTCTATAGCTATGCTGTTAAAGGCAGACTTCAAAAGCGAATGCACTAAAGAAAAAAAAGATAGCAGGGGTTTTCTCAGATATGGAAATACATACTTACATTTATTAAAATACTTTAGCAATAAAGACAGAGTGAGATTTCTATCCCACACATACAGAAATTTGAAATACAGGCCTGAGTGAACTTCAAGTAACGTGTATCCAGATTAAGTACAACCACTTGCTTCTTAGAGTTGCAAAGTATATACAATATGTTCACACCTTATTTAAGTATATTCTTGATGCTGAGTGAACGAAAAATTGCATATTTGGAAAAATCTGTGTCTGAGGCTCTCTTTTTTCCTTTCTGTTTATGTTTCAGGGTAATAAAATCTGAAGTTTGGCTAAGACTTAATATTGCATCAATAACAAGGATTACTTGGTCTTCAAATAGACTTTATTTTTTAAGTAGTGTCATATTTTTCCTGCATTTTTTATGTAACACATAGCAAACTGATTGCAAATACTATTTAAAAGCCTTTTTCAATCTGCAGAACCTCTTTTTTTTTTTTTGGCAATGCGGTGACATTTCTAAATTACATTTTAGTAGTAAACATTACCTTATTGCATTGATAGACGCAAAGAACCTCTCACAAAAATTTGCACCCAGAAAGAAAAAAATCCCTGCACAAGGTTATGCATTAGTGACATTCTGATTTGTCTTTTGGAAGAGATAAAGCCAAATGTTTCCAATATCAATCATGTATTCATACGGTGCAAAAACAAGTTCAAATTTTTTCTAAAGGAAAGCCCTCATTTGAGGGTTTACCTTTCTCCATATTCACAACATCCACACAAAATATATGAAGGATAATATACGTAATCTTTAAGTAAATCACCTGACCAGCTCTAAATTCTTTTCTGGTATCATCTAACACAGATGAACATCTTGGCCACAATAAAGTCAAGGTAATAACGAAACACAACAGAAAAGCACAGTAAAGGAAAGGTTTGATGTTTCTAGTTACCTTTTTGCGCCATCAGGCAGAATTCTTCTTGAAGCTTCATGTACTCTGTAGAGCACTCCAGAGGATCTGTTACATGGCTTGGGGGGGTCTGGAACTCAATATCTGCACAAAGGTTGGGATTGGACGAATGCAGCCGAACTGGGGACATTGTGGCACTAAAAGGGACCTACAGCAAGAAACAGTAAAGATGTATTGTTTAAGAAGCAAACCAACTTTTAAATTCTGTTGAAGCAAAATATAAATTATTCCTTCTGAAAAAAAAAAAGTGCTTGGTTGAAATGTGAAGAACAAACATATAACTTTTTACTGTCCTAAATCACAGCACAGTTGATGCAGAAATCCTTGCAGTTCTTGAAAACTTTCACTGAAACAGACAAAAATAGCCTAAGTATTGAGCTAATCGCTAGCAGTAGAATATTCCAATTCTAACATTCACAAAAACTGGTCATTTCCTAATGCTTAAAAGACAACTAGAAAATTTAGCCACAACACATGTTTCCTTGTATATCGTTGTTGGAGTCCACATAGAATGAATCCATTTTTCGAGTACCAGCATAAAAGTTCCTCCACAGACTAGAGATAGGATACTATTCTCAAATGTATCATGGAAAATTAATCTCCCTATCAATCCGAAAACCACTGTTACACCTGAAGTAGAAACCACTGTACACGCAACAATGAAAAGGGAAAATCATGTGGTCTTTCCATTTTCTATGAAATAAATTAAAAAAAAAACAAACATAAATGTTCACTTAATTTTCATTTGAAGTACAAGAGCCACAAATTAATGCATAGAGATGCAGTTAAGTAAAATGCAGTAAAGACTTCCATTTATTAGTTTTTACTTTTTTCCTTCTATAGTTTCCAGTACAGTAAACAAAAATATAAGTGCGTACCTTATAAGTTTTACATATAAATATATCACGTGTACTGAATAGTTACCTATATGTTCCATAAGCAATGTATGTATGCTGCTTTACATGTGACGTGTGTGCGTGACAGTGCGTTTTTCACCATTTGCATATATTTGTATAAAAATCCAGTCAAGAACCTAATTTTCAAAACTAAATGAAAGGGGAATGCATGCAGAACTCCATTTTTTTACTTCAGTATTAAGCATTGTTAAACAAATTCAAGTTTATCATATTGACCAAATGTATAAATCAAAAACTCCCACTCTGCAGCCCAATGTAATTATTCAAATATGAAAAATGGAGGAAAAAAAAGTGTCTTCCAAGACATGATTAAGAGTAGCAGATAAAATAAAGTCATATTACTAAGATATATATATATATATAAATTTACATCAACAGATAATTTACATACCACCATCAGTATCTGAAATTGTTACCTTGTTATTTGATTACATTAAAGAATAGTTCTACCAATCCCTTCCTATAACATTTGTCACCAATAACCATCTTAGGTTTCTCCCTTAAAATCCTCCTGGACCTATTAACCACATCTTGAGCACATTCCGGCAATACCATTTTCCACCTTGCCCTTCAATTTCCATATACATATAACAGAGACTAACCGTTTCACAGCACCTAACTAGTGTAAACTTTATCCTCTTCTCTCATTGTTTTGATTTCTATTTATACAACAAAGTAGTTTCTTGTTTTTTGTTTTTTGTTTTTTTTTTTACCTCCTTTTTGACTCATATCAAGACTTTGTTAACAGGGATGTAGAATAAATTCCTTCTAGAGACAGCATTGCTGCCTCATACCTCAGCTGGCCAGGCTGAAAAGCAATGTTTTCCAGTGAAGTTTGTTGAAAAAAAAGAACGTTTTATTTTCAGTCCTAGAAACAAGCATTCATATGCTCTACAATTACCATCACACTGCTTGCAAGAAACACACACTGACATGTCAGAGACAAGTAGCTGCTTTGCTGACTGCTTTAGATACATGAACCAAAAATAATGAACTGTTGACTGATATGAACTCTCCTCATCTGCATCTTGGAAGAATTTCCAAGTTACTCTTCACAAACAATGGAAAAAAAAAAAAAACCAACAGCAAACAAACTCATTTTCTTGAAGAACCATCTATCTAAGAAGCAGTGCCCATGAACCTCTCTTCCCTTTTTTTCTTCTCTCATTGTAGTGCTTTCTCTTTACACTCATGGTGGTCTGATGCTGCCTTGATTACCTATTAGTTTTTCTATCTTTTTAAGTACATAGTTTCTTGATGCATCCCTCTAGTTTTTCTTCCTCATTTTTGAAGACATGATTTCAGGTACACCACGTCCTGACTTTCTGATTTATTCCAAGGGCTGAAATAACACTCATTCATCAGCCTCTTCAGAACTGCATGCTCACATAGAGACAGACTGTTCCCAGTACAGTGGGTTGTAACACAAGCCTTTCCCTTCTGCATTTTACCTGATGTAATTCTGTATCTTCCAGACTATAGAGACAGCAAACTGAGATGGGGGTTTATTTCTTTGCTACAAAGGCAGAGAAGATAAGATCACCCAATCAATATTTGACTGATATTCTGCATCTATACATGGCTTCAACTGATTACAAGGGATTAAGTTTAGAGAAGTTATTTTGGGTACTGGAGGAGCACTGATTTCTCTCGTTTTTCAGGACGACCTAATAGTAAATGAGGTTCATGGTTCTGGCAACAGGGCTCAAGTTATTCAGGCTTAAGCAGAAGCTACATCTGAGCTAGTGGATTTCAGCTATAGGCTGGAGCAGCACACCTCCGAAAACTTTAGCTTGATGTTGACTGACTGAGCTAGGTAGAGGTATGTGTTTAAAGCTCATTTTATTCTTCAGTTGCACAGAGCTCTTTTTTTCCTATATCTTTATGTCTTCCCCATCTGTTTCACTAATCCTTTGAGGGACTAATCTATATTGTGCATTCCTAATAATTGCTTTCCTGACAAAGCAGCAGTTGAAGGTATACTTACGATGCTAATTTAGTTTCATAAATAGCATCACCCACTCCCCAGTTAGTAGCCTGCATGTTGATTTCAGAGCTCCAAATTGTGTGTCAAAGGCTTGGAGAATTAGCAAAAATGAAAAACTGACACTAGCAATAGTAATATGACTTTTTTGGATCATGGAATGTAATCAAAGTACCTTAAATGAAAAGGCTAATCTTACGTTACTAAAAAAAAAAAAAAACAAAAAAAAAAAAACACCAGGAAATGTCATCATTTCTTGTTTGTTTGTGGCAAATCTCATTTTCACTGTCTTTCTATAGACCGTTATGAGAATCTTTTAACAAAATGTGATCATTTCAGTCCATTTTAAATAATATAAGCTATATTCAATAAATAATAAAGCTATTTTCAAACACTGCAGGGCCCGAGTCTGTTCGTCACTTGCAACTGCATAAAGGAAGAGGTACATGACCATGAAAACAAGCTCAGAACCCCAACTGTGATACCCACTTGTATCAGGCCTGATCACTTTTAAGTGACTTAGCTCAGAATGGGTAGCATGGACACCTCCATCAAGTGCAAGAACCAGCTTCGTAAGCTTATTACACATTCAAGTTACACAGCTTCCCGTCTTTCAAGCTATGCCTTGATTTTTAAATCCACTCACTGTTGTAGCCACTGCAGCTGCTAGTCTCTGCCGGCGTCGTGTTGTGCTGAACTGGCCCTTCGGTGCCGGCCCTTCCTGACAGTGAATGCAAGAAGAGAAGGAAGTAGAGAAAGAGAAGGGAAGGGGTGATGGACAGAGGAAGATATGAAAGGTGATCAGAAAAGGGAGAGGGAGAGTCTTTAAGTGGATTTCAATTTTGTTAACTCTTATGTCCTACACATTTTGAGAACATATCATATGTTCTCACCTGTGTATGCCAGAGACTTATATAGCTAGGTACTTCGCTAATGTTATCTCCAGAAGAGTTGGACTGCAGTGGACAAAAAAAGAAAAATTAATTCTATTAGCTTTTCTATTCAGAGTCATAATGCAATTATGGAATAAGAAAACAAAACAGATGCTATGGCATGGAAGAAAACTTAAAACAAAAAATCCTTCACTTCACCACCTAGAAGATGAATTCTGAAAGAGATCACTTGGCATTTGTGGAAGTGCATCAACTGTGGTTACCAAAGATGCACACATCTCAATAGTAAAATATGTGAGTATGTGCATTATAGGGAGCTTTCTTACATAAATACTCCTGTACACATTTCTGGCATTTCTCTGTCCATACTTGGGCTTGTGTTTCATTTTCACTACATACCATCCTTTTGTGTTCTGTAAGATCCTATTTCTCATTCTATACATTACTGAAGGCTTAGCTTTCAAAGCAGTTCAAAATCTCAGACAGAGTAGCACAAACAAAAACTAGGTGTTCCAACAACTGTTTTTTTTTGCATGCCTAACATATGGCTTCATCCTGCATAACTTCATTTTTACATTACTTATAATAAAATCCACCATGGTACATCAAAGTTGTGTATATGCTGCATGAAGTCTGCATGATGCAGAACAGCTCCATGCTTACCACAAAGCCCTTCTACTTAATGCCTAACATCATATCACTGTTTTGAAGTATTTGGATGAATTTATAACAATAAAAAAGCCACCTTATTATTATTATTATAGAAAAACATTTTCAATTCCTTTACATTCTTCTTAATCTATATATGCATTTATAGCCATTTCAGTGTTTTAAATTCATATACATTTTTCTCTTTCTGAAAGCAACTTGGGTATCAAAGGAATAGCAATGGTACTCAGACACTAGGACATCATGGTGAAGAACAGTATAATGTAGTTTATTAGGAGGTGGCAGAATTTAAAGCTCTTTGTGCTCTACAAAAGTATGTCTACACTTTGAATGAGAGTTCTGAACACACTATTACTGTTCAACTAATAGAGACAAATTTATACATACATGTACATAGCGACGCACAAATGTATATATTTAACACTCAAAAACTGCAAGATTCTGAATGCAGGTAGACACTACTAAAATTGAAACAAGGAGTTCCACAGAAGCACCACCCCCAAACACAACATAAAGTCCAGTAATTATCTGAGTTACAATTAATAACATGTCACTAAGTACTTATTTAATGCAAAGAGTAATAAACCAGGTTTAATTCATGATCTAGAAACCTCAGCAGAGCAAGCTGACTTTTCAAATCATTCTGTACTAAGTAGTTCTGCTAAAAAAAATTAAAAAAAATTCTCCTTCCATCTACCCTTGACTAAGTCTTGGAACTGTACTTCTCTGAGCACTGAAAGAAATTATATCAATGATAGTTCATTTTGCTGCTGTTCAGTACTATTTTTTTCTTCAAGATCTTTGACAATCATGGGAATGTAAAATTGTTCTTTAACCAAAAGTCAGTTTTTGTAGAAAAGAATGAATGCAGACTGATTAAGCTGTTGTTGCAAATTACTTTAAGACTTTTTAAAATAGACTTCTAAAAAATAAAATAAACCTCCCTTATATAAGCAACCCTTCTTCAGAGAAACAACCCAAGTCTTTTTCTCCTGAGAAAAGGCTTGTAAATTAAGCTGTTAATTCAGCAAAACTAAATCCCCAATTCTAAAAAGCACATATATACATGCTATGATTAATTTTTCTCAGTGAAGCAGCCCCACTTTTATCACGGAATTAACCACAGTAAGCAAAGTTATGTGCATACAGGACTAGTATACTTAAATGGCAAATAAACGTTTCTAAGAAACAAAGCAAGTAGAAGCAAGTAGACAAACTTGTCCTCACCATAAGAAGTACATTTAAAACTCTTTATACACCTTGCACTCATATTCTAGGAATGCGTTAGCAGGCACACAAAAGCTATCTTACTAACTCATTTTGACTACAATAGACATTAGATGGGAGAATTTTCTCATTGCATCTTACACAGTGGACACAGAGCTAGCAAAAATTACAGCATTGCTCCCTGCTATTTGTGAACAGAACACCTCATTTTCATGCTCTCTGGCTCTCAATCTCATACTGCAAAAGGTCCTTTTTTGGTAATTAATAATTCCTTATTCTACAATCAATTGGTGCGTATATTTCAAATGGAATTAATAGTCCATCTAGCTGGAAGTTAGTATGTTGTTATTAGTATTATCCCAAAAAACTAATGATACGTATGGAAGAAAGGGGAAAGGAATAGGGCAACAAAAGTTTTTTTGACATCAAATCTCTCAACTATTTAATAGCAAATCATGTGTACTGTCCGTGAAGAAATGATCACAAATTAGACAGTGATTCAAAGCAATGGATAATAGTTTATAAAGTGTTGGAGTAATCTTGAAAAAATTACCTATATGAAATGAAGCTAGAAAAAATGGTTAGTAGAAAAACACCACAGGAGAGCAAGCTTAAAAAAACAACTTCAACCTATGAGGAAATCCAGTGGAATAGCAGCATGAGCAAATTATGATTAACACAAGAGTCAGAAAGAGACCATCTTCCACAGAGCACAGCTTTAAACCATTCCTGGGACAGAATAGTCCTTGGAATTAAAAAGAGTGTACCGAGCCAATCAAGTTAGTTAACATAATAGAACAGCCAAAAAAAAAAAATCTTCATCCTGTACATAATTTAGAATTGTTTTGTTGTTTCTGTCTTCCTGCAAATTAATTTGTCAGTCAGTCATCAATCATTTAATGCTTTGCTCTAATAAAATAAGCTTTTTATTTTCCAGCCCTACACTTGTCAGGAGCCAAAGCTGCCCCAAGTTAAACAGAATTCACTATCTCTCCAGCAATGGCAGACGAAAGTAGAGCAGTGCTATGCATACAAACTCTCAGAGGAATCTGCAAAGTGACCCATAGCACCAACAGCATCCTGAGAATCAGGTGCCAAACTGAGTCTCCCACAGGAAGCCCAGCACAGTGTCACTTTGACAAGGCAATGGCAACTCAGGTACAGCTCACAATTCCTTGTGATCCTAGATCATCACGTATTGTTGCCTTAATAATTTATACTTTTTTTACTGAAGTTTCTTTAGACCTCTGTGGTATGAAAGAAGAACGTGGGTTTTGCTTCTGCCTTTCCAAAAATGCTTGCATCCATTTCCCTGGTATTTTTAGTAGCCTACCATTATTCAGCAACAAGGAAACACAGTGATCTTCCACATGCAGGTAATAGGGTATGACATCAACCACCAGAATTCCCTTGTTAATAAAGCTTGTTACACCTAACAGATATTTCTTGGTTCAGCATATTGTCCTTAATCTAGAATAACAGGTAGAAAGAAAAGTCACCTACTACAGCTGCAATCCAAGTTTCTTTCCTTACAGTCTTCCTTCCTTAAGATTGTCAGTCTTAAACGAGTCACAGAGAACTTCTTACTGTGTCTCTGAGTCACAGAAATTCCTTATTATGTCTCTGAGGAACATAGTAAAGGTTTTACAAGTCTGCATGAATTTCAAAGTACTTAAATTAATCAGAAGTTGCTGACATATTTATTCCACAGCAGACAGCACAGTGGTAATCGTTATCTCCTGAAGTCTGTGAAGTACAGTCTTCATTAACAGTTGCTCAGTTATAAAAATAAAGCAGTTTTTGGATTAGGCTTCAAAACACGCAGCTATTTCTGACAAAACACAGCAAGATTCCCTGGATCCAGAAGTGACATAGGGTTTCTATGCTTATTTCTGTGCTGCTTCTTTTCAGATCTAAGGCAGGATGATGTCAATTGTTATTTTTTTTCCATATGATTTATTCTTTGGTTTAATTCAATTTGTTTCCATAGTAGCCTGTTTCATAAGATAGGGCTCACTGGTAACATTCCTAGTACAGGTTTTGACAAAGGCAACTGGCACGTTTAGTATTTCATTCATGTTTTCTGCTCTTAGTTTAATGTCACGTGCTCAACTGTCCCTCTCTTCTAGTTTAAGATGGAAATACCAGAATCTTTGTGTGCTGCATGCCTATCATCTTTTTTGCACCTTAACTGAGTAGTGTTCAGCCTCTCTTCCTTTCCCTAGATGGCAATGTTTTCATATGAAAGTAAAATCAATACATTTTTCACTATCTTGTCTAAGTTTTAAACAACCAATTGAGATTTAATTTGCATCATCAGGAACATAAGAGACAGTACATTGAATTACTACTTTCAGTTAATATATCAGTTCATGCTTAAAAGTTAATCTAAAAGTAAAGTGAAAAGGAAAACATGAATTCAGTACCTGAAGTTGAATTTTTGCATCTTTGCTGACACTTTTTGTTCTCCATCGTCTTGTGACCCGCTTGTCTTTCTTTGAAATATCTACACAGTTAGCCTACATTACACAAATAGTTAAAAGCAACAAGGCACTATTAAGTTGACACAAGCAACACAGACAAGTTAGTAAAGAATTGTAGTGTTAGACATTGATAAATTAGAAAGTGAAGAAAAGAATGCTACTGCCATGACCTGCAACTACAGCAGTGACCAACTGTGGACACCTATGCCACTACTATTAAAAAAAAAAAAAAAAAAAGGTGTGTTCAACTCATTTATCAGAACAATTGGTACACTGTCTTCACAGCGCACAACATTTAGGAACAGATTTTGAAATCCTTATGGATTTCTATTTTCTCAGTGTCAGAGAAATGCTCAGCTCTTCCTGAAATGGTAAGTCTCCTCATTGGAACTAGTCTTTTCAACACAAAAACACCACTGGGAGACTTCAAAAGTCAAGTGGCCTGAGTGAAAAAGGAAGAAAGTATTTAAGATTTAAAATCTGCTGTTGCTTTCCTGTGGTCAAGAAGACAACTCACCATGAAGTGGGAAATGGTCCAGTGCTTTGAGCCTTTGTGACTATGCCCTCTTCTCTAGAACATAAAATGTCCTCCCCACCTTGAAGGTTTGAAACTGCACTCCTTAAAAACTTAAAATAGTATCTTACTGAGCACAGTAACAGCTCCTTAAGTATAATTTCAGTGTGTACATATAATTCTATTGTAATGGTTCTTAGTTCTGCTTTTGCAAATGACTTAATTATTTGATCCTTCCTATTTAACTCAAATTATCTTAATACATCTTATCCATTTACACTAAACACTATTAAACATGATTAAGATAAACACGATTAAGCCTTTCATCTAAGAGTTACTACAATTTCAGAAAATCAATTTTAAGTTAATAGAGAGCATACTTACAATACCTTTAATGCAACCAACAAATGCTTCAGCATGATTATTTATTATCAAATAGAATTACCTGCATGTCTGTGAAATTTGGTGCAGACTGAGTTCTCTGTAGTATTTCTAAATTTTGAAGAAGTTTACTGAGTTCCACAAGGTTTGACTGACAATGAGCAAGATCTAAAACATATAAAAGAAAAAAAAAAAACATTAGGTGCTTCAGTTCAGATGTTTTCTTTGCCATAATGTTCACCACTGGCATTTTATTGTACGACAAAAGTCAAATGCCTCAAATCTAATAGTAAAGCACCTAAGTAGTAGCCTTACTGTCAGAGATGCTGAGCACTTGTTATTTCTATGGCAGTCAGCAACAAGATTGGACCTTAAAACTTAAGCATACTTTAATAATGATATCCATTAATACTTTTTTTTTTTTTTTTTAATTTAAAAGCAACATCATAACACAAGCTAAGAGGGAAGTTCCTACTACAAGCATCTAGTTTATTACCTAAAGAGCTCCTCATAGGCATGTAGAGATGCTACTTAACCACTTCCATTGACTGTATGTTATTTCTTACCAACAAGACATTTTGCTAAAAGAGCAAGGCACAAAATGGTAAAGACTAACCTTCTGCACATCTGTCCATCTCTTCTGAGTCCTGCAACCAGGCTGCTACTTTACTCTGCCCAGTAGTGCAGGTTGCAGGAAGGCTGTTACTGCAAGGTATAGGAGATTGCCATGGGAAGCTATTTTGTTGTACCTAAGGTATAATAAAATGCTTACACTTATTGTTGCATGTATTGCTCAGTCAGTGTAATCACCATATTTTTTGAGATAAAAAAAAAAGTACACATTGTGATTTCAGTGACATCTGTGATTTGGCTATGTAGTCGCCCACAACACAGGTATTTCTGCACAGTATATTGGAGAATCAAACCAAAGACCTCACAAACTATGTTTGCTAAACACCACTTACAGAAGTTGTTGTTAAAGAGGAAGAAAACTACAGAACAACAGACAGATTTATCTAAGATGCAAAAAGCCAGAGCAAATTCTTCTGAAGACAATGAGTTCTGTGCACAATTTCTACAGCAGCCCATTAATGAAAGCTACTCCCAGCTTTTTGCTGGCTATCAGTTCCTCCAATGAAAACTCCTCTCTACTGGCACTCCAAGCAGAGCCCACTGAAATTCAGGCTTGCCCATGAACAAGTGCAGCAGGCATGAGTTTCCAACAAAAGGACACAACGTACCTTTCCATCTGGTACATTAGCAGCTGGTGAAGACTCTGTAGTAGAGGCTGAGGGGAATATATGGAAGCTGGCATCTCTCGGAGATCTCACAATCTCATTCTGACGGTACAACCGGTGGTGGCGTAATTTTGAAACCCATGCATCAAATGTATCCTGGGACTTCACCTACAAAGTAACTCATTATAAAGAAGCATTCAAAATAACACTCTTTCTCCCACAGCAGATTTTTCCTAATTACTATTATGTATTTCCACTGTGGATGAAAAGAGAATACATATTTGATGTATCACCTTCAGATGATAAATGTGCTCTTCCGTATCAAGATCTATTCTGCGAGCCTTCTTCTTAATGGACATAACTGATAAGCCTACATCAATGCTTCCATGTACTTTGCCCTTCTGTATCTGAAACCAAAAGCAAAGTACAAAATTGCTAGTATCATGTATTTCATTATAATTAACAGCAAAATACCTGGTGCTGAAATGTTTCCTGTTTTTAGGAATATCTTACATAAAGATGCATAAAAGTTAAAACCTGTATTCAAACTAAAAATTTCCTCCTTTTATAGATGAGAAAAATATCTCACAACTGCAGAGCCAATTCCAAATGAAAAGTGTGATGGTTCACACTAGCATATAACTACAGGTTAAGTGAGAAGCTGAGAAAATTAGACAGCACTTAGCTCCCTGCTGATACTGCTTGATGGTTATTGGTGTCTAATTTAATACTACCCCTTATATCTCGATGCATCATAATCACTTTTCTGTCCTATCCACATACCTCAAAATAATCAGCTCTCCCTGACATCAACATTAAAAAGGTACAATATATGCTCAGGCTAATCTTTGAAATATCTTCATTAAGTTAACTTCTATTTTAACTTCTAAAGTTAATTTCTATTTTTACTGAAGTAATAAAAGGCAGAATCTGGGGGAATATAACAACCTAAATCTTACATGCTTTCCATATTCAAATCTCTCTTTGAATCCACCAACAACTTTCATGTGTATGCTTGTGATAAAGGTGCCTAGTATGAGAATGAGCAGGTTGAATTCTAACAAATTTTAAAATAGTCTTCAGCTTTACTTACATCAATTGGTGACTTTGAATATTTTAATAGTCCATTATCCAGGACGAAAAACCTCTGAAAGTGGAAAAAAAGATTTTTTTTTCTTAATGATCAGATGCAATTTAACTGTGCATGATAATTTACCTACAAATGAAAACAACTTTGTAACAACTAAGGACTGTTTACAGGTTGGAAAGAGCATAAGTATGGTAGCAAATTTTTTCTTTCCTCTTTGATAACAACTATCTTTTAAGTGTGAAAACCTAGATTCTGTTTCCAACAGTATACTCTATGTTGAACTTTAGGAATGTTACTAATTAAGGACATTTTTTCTGTTTTCCAGCCAATTCAGTAAGGTCTACTAGAAAGACAACATAGGCAGAAAGAGATAAGTCTTTTTCATTGTTTTCCTCCTGTTTTCTTCCCAAATAAGATGGTCATGTTTCAACATAACTGCTTCCTCCCTACATATCTCCCAACATAACAACATTCCTCCCTATCCAGAAGCTGACAAGCTTTTCCTAGTGCAAGATCTACATCCTGGAAGGAAGACCCACAGATGGGTACTCCTGTGGTCTTCTGTGGACTCCAGCTGGGAAGCGATGCAAGCTGTGAGACACAGCTCTACCATCCAAAACTTTGCACTCGCAGCAGACCTTCGTACAGTGAAGTAAAGATGAAGCCGTGATTTATGCTCCTTATACTTTTTCTAGATGTAAGCTAGCTGCGGTAGTACAAGTGGAAATATTACAGTATTACCAGCAACAGACCCTGGTCATTGGAGGGTTTGTGTTTTGTACATTTGCAAGTGATACGGAGCGAGTCACTGTATCTTCATTGGTGCAGCTACAAGGAATAGGCAAATTGAAGCTAACATGACAATGCCTATCTGCACAAGTGCTACACCTTTATTTTTCTGAGCAGCTTTTCCCTACAGCAGAGAGCAGAATCCTCAATTCACCATGCTTCTCCAACAATTAAAGCTGCTGTAGCTTGTGAATACTAGACGGCTCTAGCTGCATTGCAGACAAGTTAGCACAGCATTTGGCACACAGCATAAAGATGCAGCCTGGCAGGAAATGTAGATGTTTACTGAGATTCACTAACTTGTGTTATCAACACGCAAGTAATACAAACTACTTGATATTTTCAGAGCCTACCCTAAAGCACTAATTTATGTTAATGATCTGGAACACAGCAAGTTATTACGCAAGACTCTTTAAGCTGTCTGATACGGAAGAGAAGGATCACATTTGCCTGACACGAACCTGTTGAACTGACATTATGAGCAGGGTCAGTACTTTCATGGCAGAAAATATTTCCTAAAGATGCCTCTGGAAATAATGTCAGATGCACAACCAATGGTACCAAGGTCTGACACAGGGCGATAAAATTCCAGCTTTGCTGGAGGTGTAGCTTCTCAAATAAGATGTCAAAACAACAGGTTGTGAAGTTTTAGTTTTACTACGTATGGTCATCAATGGACTAAAGAAGAACACAGTGTTAATTCCCTATTTTTCTGCTTCTGTAGGCTCCATATACCAATGACCTTTTATCACATCACATTTCAGAGCACACAGCATTTCAGAAGCAGATGAACTACTACATAAGTTGAACTACTACATAAGTTGTACATGTTGTAACTGGTATGCTAATAAAGCACACTGACAGCCATCAGAATTTGACATACCCTGTTCAACAGGCAGAGGATTCCATGGCTTTGCTGTCAGGTCACTAACAGCATACAGTACAACCACTGTGGATTGTACTGTCTCTGGAACTCCTTACTGTGCTCTCAGCACAAAGTAGTGTTACAGAAATTCTAGCTAAATTCTAGCTAAGTAAAACAAAATCAAAACAAAATAAGGTTGATAGGTCAGCAGAAAAAAATAAAAGAGTAGCAGACAGGTCAAAATCTTGTACTGATAATCCAGCATGTGGACACATTAGTATAACATTCACAAAGAACAGAGAAATTAGAAAAACTGTGTTTTATACTAATACAGTGTGAATATGAACACAGACCTAAATTGCATTAAAAGGCAAAGTTAATATTTTACTAGGAATAAAAAAAGCCATTTATAAAAGTAGGTTTCACTATTCTTCACAATACAATGCTGTGTCCTAGAAAATGACCGTTCTTGATCTACTCCAATGTGCAAAATACAGGTAGGCATCAATAACCAAATCTTGTTAACAGAGAATTCAAAAGAAGTGCAATTATTATGCTATAAAATACAGGCAGAAGACATAATGAACACTGCATTTAGGGCTAACAAAAAGTAAATGTTCATAAAGAAATGTCTCCACATTAACTAAATAGAAATAGAAGATTCAGGGTTTGGGTTTTTTTCTGTTTTATTTTGTTGCTGTTGGCGTTTGTGATGGTGCTTTGTTAAATAGTCATGCTTCATGTCCACAAAGAAGATTACAGACACACTGACAAACAATTCAGGGACAGGGATGAGCAAATCTGCCCAGCCAGGAAGGCTGAAGGGAAAAGTACTTCAGGGGATGCTCTCCAGTAAGAACTCCTTGGTTCACACCAAACCCTGCTCGGCTCTTATAGAGTCTTGGCTGCTTCCATGTAAACTCAATTCAAACTTACACTGCACAGCTATGTTTTGTTATAATGTATTCAGAAGAATGAAAGCAATATTGGCTAAACCTCTTAAAACACAAGGCATCTACTGTATTATTTACACTGTCTGCCTGGATTTTGAATATAACATTACACAGCCAGCCCTGCAACATTGAAGCCACAAAGCTGTGTGTGCAGACTAATTCTTTGTACACTCTGAAGATAAGGTCATTCACCGAAATTCTGGGCTTTTATTTGTCAGTCATCCTCCATTGTATTTTCTCTAGGCAAAAAATTTCAAACCGTGAAAGGAAGCAATAATCCTTTGACCGTTTTATGAGAACTTTACCTTGTGCCAACCTTTTAAGGGCCATTTTCTCTTTTTCAGCATGAAGCCTTCATGTTTGTCTGGCTTCTGTACATGAGTCTGGCCAATTTTCAGACCCTCTATGATTTCCCAACTGTCAGGCTCCTGGTGAAAAAGCATGAACACATTGATTAATAACTGTTCGAACACATGATGTAAAACTGCATTTATATGCAGCACAAATTCTGTAGCACAAAACAAAGATTATCTCTGCATAGTAAGAGCTAAAAGATTCAACGGATGTTGTAATTGGAGCATGGGCAGAATTTGCATGTTCAAAACTTAACTTTACTCAGAACGCTCCTCTAAAAACAGTGAGATCATGAGATGAAATGTAGATATCTTACTGTTAAATACATGGGAATATATTAACAGTGTACTTTGTACTGTGCCCTGATCATAAGAATATGTAAGCTTTCTTATCTCTAGCATACAATCTGCACTGATTTTGGATACTCCTAATTTTCCTTAAAATCTGAAGTTCAAGCAGAAGAGGTTGACTTGTGGTTGGTCTTCAGTGGCAGTTTATGAAGCAGAGTTGCAGAGGCTATTTGCACCTTAAGAAATACATAAAAGGAAATTAAACTTTATCAAAGTTTCTTGTCATTCATTTTCAATACATTAAGGGAAAAGCTGTGGAAAGCTAACTAATTTTCTCTCGAGAAAAGTATATGAGCTGCATCGTTTCAGACATAACCAGCTGTATAGACCTTTCTGAGAGCCAAGCACATTCCTTGCACACAGAGCTTGTTATGCATGACCACTTCCACAACTCAGGTCTGAGTTGTGAAACATCATAGTGAACAGCTACAGGACAACGCTTTCAGTGAGAAAGTCATGCCTTTATTCACATCCCTTGCTGCTATCGTAATCAATAAATGTTGCAAACTAGCATTTTCTCAGCTGTCACAACTCTCACTCATAATACATAAAGCGACTGCAAGAGGGAAGAGGTCATCAAACATTTGAAGAGAAACAGAAATTCTTCCCTCCATTTCCCATGAACCTGCTCACAGCCAAAAACCATCAGCCCTGCCTGTGTTACAGAGCTTCAATACCATCAATGTCACTATTGTGAAAATATGATTATAAATATAACACCAAACTTTATGTTTACAAACCTGAATAAGAAGTTGCTAGCCTAACTAGGATGAAAAGTTCTGTCCCAAGTAACACTTACTGCTGTAAGTTTTAATAAAAATTTTAGCTCTGTTTAACTTCCCCTGTATAACTGCAAATTGAAACTATCACGGGGCCAGTAAACACAGTTCAAAAACCATCACTTTGATTTCACTGTGTTTTGAGATGATATTCTATTTCCATTACTCAGCAGGAAGTACATTTGCATTATTTTTTCCCCATGAAGCACTTGGCTCTTAAGGGGGGAAATTAAACTATGAGTCCCCTGGGGCAAGCAGAGGATCTCTTCTCTACTCTGCCAACTGACTCCTGATATTGATTTTTCCTTTAGAAAATCAGCTGTGGGCATAAGTCTTTTATCTACCAGATAACATCAGTATTGATTACTTCTCAACCAGAAATCACACAATCTCATAGAGCTATTTATTTAACCGAAAGGCCAGATACAGGAAGACATAATAAGCCATTATTCAGTGCAATAACCATTAGCTGCCTTTTGCTGCACCAGTGCCACAAGCTGTTATATAGCCACCCCTAACCATCCTAACTGCAGCTCACTTCATCCACGTTTATTATGATGAGATGTGCCAAGTATGAGGCACACTGTGCCACAGAGCATTCTACTGCAAGAGCAGCCAGAAAGGGGAAAACAGAGTGACAACAAAGGTTCCTCATCTGATACTGGATCATTCAAAGCACAGCTTTACCATTTCAGTACTTCTATGGTTCACAGCACATTAAGTGAACAGCAGCTCTGCACGGAGCAGCAGGATCAGGGAACACAGGCAGATCTTACAGGCCTGGCTCTGCACATGCCCCTGATACTGGCAAGAAGGGACTTTTTAGTTGTTTTTGTTTGTTTGTTTGTTTGTTTTCCCAATAAGACAGGGCAATTTCACTTTTACATAGTTGAATAGCATGCATCATGTTGAATATGTTTTCCCAAGTATCACGAGTTACAGATATTTAATTTCAGCTTTTATTTTCTGCCAAGTATTCTATCACAGCACCCTCACCTTTTAAGAAACAAACTTGCTTTTTTATACGAAGTAACTTAAAATGAAGCCTTCTTTAATCAGAATTGGACTTATTTAGAATCGGCCCTTTCAGATTTCAGGAATTCAGCCCAGAGGACACCAGCTACAAAGCACTGCATGTGAGGGTGCATCATTCAGGAACTGGTGCTGTTACCTCTATGGTTCTACTGAAGAGCTCAGCAACGGTTTCAAGCTTCAAGAGACCACCTCAAAAAATACAATTAGGAGGAAAGTTCTATGTATTTTTAATCAATATCATATTGATTAGTAGTGCTTTAGGACATGGATATGGTTGTTGTTATTTTTTCTGATTGGACTGGAACATTGCTCAAAGCCTCTTCTAGCTCCATATTCTGAGATAGTCAGTCTTGCTCCTGGGAGACATTCACAGAATGGCGGAAAAAACCATCTCCGCAACCACCCAAATCCTTAATTTTGTTAATACAAAATCTAATAGAGATTACTAGCCTCTCTAACACTTTAGGCAGTAAATAGGCTCAAAATGCATTCAGTGGCAGAACCATAAAAACCGATAGCCTGAAGCTTAGTCAAACTACACTGTAAGTACAAAAGGAGAAACAGTGCCTGGATCCCAGCCTGTACTCTTGCTTACCTTGGACAGAGAGATAGGGTCTGTTTCAAGGAACTGCTTGCTTAAGGAAGGGTCTGTGCTTCCCGAAGAAGCCTTCCGTTCCAAAATATTAATGCTCTAAAAAAAAAAACAAAAACAAAAAAATGAAATAATCCTAAAGACGACCACTTATCATTCAAAGGTATTCAATGGTATTTGTATGCATTAGAAATGCATATCGAGTAATGAAGGACTGATCACACAGAATATAGAGTATATTAGAGAGTATATGATGGATAACAAAGCCTAAAACTTTACATAAGCATAGTGGCTCAAAACTTATATAAAGTACTCTCTATGCATAACAAAGTTAATCTTCCAGGGCAACACATCTCTTTCCTGCCTTTCTTATTACCAGCCTTAAAATTAATGACCCTGCTTGGCCTAGAAATGAGCGGGAACTAAAAAAAGACTGGCAAGAACTGCATTACTTGCCTTTCCTACAGAGGTTCAAAGTGTTCCCAGCTGGACCTATCACCTTTTCTGCTGAGCTGAAACACTGAGTGTATATATCATACAGTAGGAACTGCCACACATTCACTTCCAAAACAAAACATTACAGGAAAAGCATTCCTTGGCTTTTTCTTACTGGCTTCTCAAGTCATGCAGTAACATGGGCACAGCTTATTCACAAGATCTGCCACAGGGTCTATGCTGACAAGCTTGCTGGTGAACATTAATTGAGCAAAACAACCTTCAACCATTACAGCTGTTACAGCCCATTTGCTCCATTTTGCATACTGTCTGATTGGAACAATTTTGCAACATCCCATGTTATCAGTTGGTGAAAATTGCTGGTACCTCTGTGGCATGATATGAAACTACTTCATTTCTAGCACATGTAGCACAATGATGGATTGTGGCAATTACAGTTCTCTGAGATATGTAGGTTTTTGTCCACTGAAAATTACAATTACAATTTTTTGTTCTCAAATCAAGCTTCCTTATATTCACCAGAGAAGAGACTGGAGACGCTACATAGGTACAAGCAAGTGTAGAAACTATCAGGGAATATAAAAATACATACAAACAGCAGAATAAATGTTATTATTTATACAGATAACTAAGTACATCAGGACCATATCTGAAATAAATTAGAATAAACACAGCTATTCAAAGAAATGCACATTTTACACAGGCTCCAGAGCAACTGACTGTTCTTTTTCAGTTTGCAACTGTGAACAAATGGAAATACATGGGAACAACCTCTACCATCAGAGGAGATCAATAAGCACCCCTGCCACAGTACAACAATAATTGGTGCTTATTTTCAGTTACTGCAATTTAATTTTACAGCCAAAAATAATAAAGGAAAAACAGCTGGGTTATGTTGCCCACCCCATTCCTTGGGCCAACAAGGAGAGCTTTGCCATCCATGCTTGAAATTTACTGTTTTATCAGAGAGAGACCAAACTTGTTAAGCCCAATGACCACTATCAGACAGCTGAGAAAATGGCTGTATTTTTTTTTAGCACAAGTTCCTACACTACATGTCGAACAATATATTTATTTGACCTCAGCATAACAATACTAAAGGAAAAATACAACAAAATGATATGGCTGAACAGATTTAATGCTACATTTGCACAGAGCATCAGATTTGAACAATATACAACCAACATATGCTTTTCCAAGGAAGGTTAAAATGCCTCAATTATCACAATCAGGACAACTCCCAACTTCCTCACCAGTTCTGCTTGGCAGTTGGGAACCACTCCATCTTGAGATGGAGCAATGCCCAACACAGATGTTCTGAAGGCCTCGCATCTAGCAGCCAATGCAGTTTGTTGTTACATAACTGCTATTTCATTTTGTAAAATATTTAGAGTGGAGCAACCCAGCAGCCCCTGGCTTGCCAGATTTCCAGTGACATTTTCCACTGCATCATTTTAAGGCGAAGTTTGTATGTTTTGGTTCCTCTCTTTCTTTGTATTCTTAATCAGCCCTGTTATTACAGTTCCACTACAGTTGAAAAAATATGTGATCAGCTAATGGCACCTTAATGAATGCTGACATTTTCAACTATTTGTTTGCAATTCAGAAAATGAACACTTACAATTGCCTTCTTTACACTCCTTGTTTCAACAAACGTTAACTCATTTACTGTAAATACTTGCTTTCCGGTTCTTTTCTGTCATAGCCACTGTTACAATGACACAAAATCCTTCCTTTAAATCTGTGACATGTCTCCGGTATAGTATTAAAATACATCCTTTGGCATAAAATGTTTTCCATTAATTTAGGCTATATTTCTGCAGAATTACTACTGGAAATTACACTGTTGGAAGTTATTTGGCATTTTGAAAAGCAGCTCCTTCTTTGATGCAGGAATTTCTTTACGCATTTATCACAAAGAAAAAAATATTTAAATCTAAATGTTATCTTTTCTTTCCTTTAAACAAGAGAAACAGAATCAGTAAAGTGAGCTGCTGAAAAAAAAGTAAACAGGAAGTCAACATATGCAGAACACAAATGTTGATTCTGCCCTGTGTTCAGTTCACATCACTTCCTAAAGGAAGCTGATGGAAAAGAATAATGATGTGATGACATTTCATATCCTCACGTTCTCTAGAAGGCAAGAATAGATAGAAAATGTATCTTACAGCATCTTCTGCATATTTTGACTCTGTATAATTGACACTAATATCAATTTTGTCTCCTACTGAAGAGGTCAGTGACCCATTCAACTTATCTACCCAAACAACATTAGCTCGGAACCTCTGGTCTCCATCAGGTCACAGAGGCTGCAGACCCTAATGCTTCTTAGGTAAATATGACTTCCCTCTGGAAAAAAAAACCAAAACATTCAAATGTGTATTCAAAGGGAAAAGTAATTAGAGATAGGAAATCCAATGAAGGACACATCTGGCACTCAGGTCTCTATTGCTGCTTTGCTGCTTAATTATTTAATGAAATTAATAGCATTTAATGCAATGAGCTCTCTCATTCAGTTTATAATTTACTGACTTTCAAGAAAAAGACAAGCTGGTGAGGAATTTACCACTCACATTGGGCTAAGACTCTCTTTATTTCAAAAATGGGCACAACATGACAAAGAATTGGTGGGTGACTGTTCTTGCTCACAGCATTCAGCAGCCTTCAACACTCATAACCACAAGACGTTAATTGACACTTCAGCATCAATGCAAAATAAAGCTTTTCTCTCTTCTGGTGGTGGTTTGTTGTTTTTTGCTGTTTTGTTTTTTGTTTTTGTTTTGTTTTTTGTTTTGTTTTTGTTTTTAATCCAGAGTAATAGTCTGTGCATTTTTTTTTAATCTGCTGTTTTCACTGGCATTGTTTTTACAATCTAGATACCCCTGCAAAGACTTATGCCTGTATTTCAAGCCCACATCATATGAAGTGAAACACTTAATCACTTGCTGTCATCTAAAAACAGAGCATTTTCCAGTTACCTGAAACACAACAGCAGTAGCAGGGTAAATGCAGTTTTGATACCTTCTAAATAGAGCTCTGATAAATGCTGAGTTGCTTTGCAATATTACTCGCAAAAGTAATAACCTTGAAATTTGCTTTTATCTTAGGCTGCTCCTCGGGCAGGTCTGACTTTCCTTTAGTTGATGCTAGAATAAAGACAAAGTCCCAGATATCACAGAGAAGGGTGATCACAAAGCAAAGCAACCTTGCCTCTAACACTGTATCTCTCCTTCCTTTCTTTCTGTGTATTTTTTTCTTCATGTGAAATCACTGTGGTCCTACAGAAATATCAAGGATTTTTGCTCTGCAGGTTTGTCATCAACTCTTTCTGGAGTTCTATTTTTGCATTTTAAGGCAGTATGTTACACCAATGCTTTTAGCCTCTGGAAGCAAAGGATCCTTTACTTTTAGAAGAAACTTTCAATAAGCTGAAGTTCTTGCTTCTCTGATGAGTTTCTTAGAGGAAGGCATTTACAGAACTGGGCAAAGCAGAGAAGAGCTGTCATCATGCCAGCAATCAGTTGGAGTGACAGTGGATTTGGGATGACTACCAAATCATAGCCCAAGTCTTTAAATCTTTTACATTTTAGATTTTGACAAGATTTTAACTCAAAAAAAGCACAACAGATAAACTGGCAATATCTGACAGAAAATGTAAGTGTTCACTAAATGATACAAAGCTTTATTATGACCATTGAAAAATCACAATTGAAAGGATTGATATTTCTCTAAACAGCCCCAGAATACATTTTATTAATGCTGACGTAGCTAGCAAAAGAAAATAAGGGGAAAAAAATCTCCATAACAGAAGATTTCTGTGCTGTACTCATATATTAACTAATTCAAGAATCCATGGTGATAGGCCTTCAGAAAATATATACGGTTTTCACTCTAATAAATGGTTGCAAACAAGTTTAATGTAAATCAAGTACCATAAAGTTGGACACTCATCTAAAAGCGCAAAATACTACTGAGGAAGAAAACACACTTGTGACCGAACAGCTTCATTTCCAATGCTAGGGTATTTAGGAAAAAACAGACTCTGGTACAATAAATAATTTTACTATGGCATGCACTTATTTTGCCTAACACATTTCTGAGTCTTGAATATGGATCCTTCCAATCTTGCACAAGTATCTTGCAAACAGAAGCCTTCATACCATGCCTGCCATCATCTCCATTTTTTATTTTGTCTTTTATCTCCACTGAAGTAATGAAACCAAAATCATGCTTCCTTTTCTCTTGAAGAAATCATAAACATCACTTTGGAAGCACTGGACTTGTCAGAATTTGTGCTTGTGTGTACATACACATACACACACCCCTCATCAATAGCAGCCCTTTAGGGATCAAGTTAGAAAATGAGTGCTTACTGTAATAATCTCAATGTTTGGGGACACTTGAGTAGTATGACTTCTATTATTTTATGTAAAAGCTGACCTTTTAGCTTACATTGTCAAGAAAAGGAAGGGAAACATGCCTATGCAGGCACAAGCACAGCAGAGGGGGAAAAACGAGACAAAGAGAGCAGGAGTGAACATGTTCTAAAAATAGTACTTTATCTATCTTAATTTGCATGGGTAATTGAGCTTTTATGCAAGCAATTTCCTGTGTTTTACAACAGAAGATAGCTACACAGGCCATTTCTAATCAAACTGACAGTCTAAAAAGAAATCTCTCCAGTGCACGCCTGTGAACCCCACTGTGCCCCCATACTTCTGGAGGCAAGGTAATTCCAACAGCCATGTTGGTGGGCTCAGACACATATGGAACAACACTTTAGGTACATATATACAATTACTCTCAACAACTGGATCACTTGTAGACAATTGCTCATGGATTAAATTCACTGTAATAAGTGACAAATAAGGAATCTGGTAGGCCTGGGAGTTATGATTTCAATGACAAGTGCTATATCATTGAACATTCACAGTGGTGGTCCTATATCTTCCTAAGTAACTCAATTCCTCCTTTCAGACATTTTTTTTCAGATGCTGAAATAAAAGCCACTGTCTTCTTAACGTAATGAAGCTTTACAGACTGTGTTAAATGCAGAGAATTATAAAAAACCTACAGAGTAGAAGCAGTTAGCTGATTTAAAAATTAATTGCATGTTTTTGTTACTAATTTCACCACTTCATTCTTTAACTCCCTTAGATTAATTGTTTGCTCCAGTGAGTTGCTGCCATCTAAAGTATTTAACACTTCCTGCACTAATGCTGCTTCATCTGTGTTATTCTGAAGAGAGTTAATTAGGAAAGAGACAGCAAAAGAGAATTACTTTACTGCAACAACAGTACTCGGAATTTAATAGCACCTTCAATTTGAAACTCTGAAAGAGATTAGCAATTATTGAAATAATTCTCACAAACTATTGAGAAGTTAAACTACTTGCAAAAGTCTACACTTTGCTGCAGCACAAAGTTAGGAATAAAGTTCACTGTTGTCAGGTCTGTATGTAACTACCAACAGCTATCTGTCTTTGATTTCCTTTCCTTTAAAGTCATGGAGTAACAAAACCAAATGAAATTTACAGGTAACCACAAGAATTTTTTTCACCATGTCACAACAGGCTGTCAGCAGTGAGCAAGAGTACTTTGAGCATCTACTCAAATATAGGATATAAACGTTCCCAGATTTCTACATTGGAATATATTACACTGTGCTGCAGTCTTGTGTGAGCAACAACTTCTGACGCAAACCAAACAGACAGGCAGAGATGAAGAGCCATCAGCCATATTGTCATTATTTATGAGTCAGAAATCACTCAGACAAAAAAATGTCTTTGATATTGTAGCACTGATCATAAGTGTTCATAAAGAGAAAGTTGAGTTTGAGGAAATTCAATGTACTAAAAATAAAACCAAAAAAAGCAACCATGCAAGCGTTAACATTCTTCAAGTCCTTTCATCAGCTCTCACACATCCAGTTATTCTGAGTGTCCCAGAAAAAGTATCAAATATGCTAAATGGAATGCTGCAATGAAAAGAGAGATTCTTTCAAATGACTTGAATTGCCAGCAACCACGATGAACCCGTGTACGTGATGTGCCTCTTTCTGCCAACCTATACTATCAAGCAAAAGGTGCTGAAATATTTTAAAACAATCAATCAAAAAAAAATCTTTTTCCTTCGTAGCCTCCATTTTTCAGTCTACACATATGGCTAAAACACAGCATCGTTTGAAATATGAAAGCTCTCCTATTAGAAAGATGACCATACAAAGCTAAATGCAGCAGAACTAAAAGCTATTCTTTTATGTTTGCTGTACGGTTTTGTTGAAACAGTAATGGGACAGAAAGCAGCAGAAAGATAACAGCTGATCATGCCTCCTTCCTAAAAGAACAAAAAGAAAACTGAGACATTAGAAAACAAGCCTCCACATTGAAAACAGCAGATGCTGCTAAATTCACTTTCCATCACATATTAGCCATCCTTTAGACAGTGGTAAGAAAAGTCAAATTCTTGTCTTTGTTCAAAACTTTATCATTATTATTTTATTTTTTTTTTTTTAATCTTCTTCTACAACACACACTTTGTTCTGTGACCACAGGTTTAATAGCCAGGGGTCAGGCCTCAATTTACTAAACCATGTTAACCTTACAACATGCTTTCCTTCTCAGCACAGTATTACTGCCTACACATTGCAGTGAATATTTAACAATATAAACTGCAGTATGACTTGCGTACTTAGTCAAGAATTAAAATACAGAACATTCACAAAGACTTAACAATCACCAGACTGAATACATAACATAAGCTTTTACAAAATGTAACTGCACTTCCTACAAACAGTGCTAGTCTTCCTGCAATTGACAGAGACTATCTGCTCTGTTGCTCCTCTCTGCAGTGTGCCCATCACAACCACACAACTGCCCTTCAGCATGGCTCAGCCCAAGGGTTAAACAACAGAGGTCTGGCGTGGGCCTCTCTGATCATCCAAATCAACCAAGATTTTGTTGAGAGCAAATGACACTGAAGTTCCTATGACAATAAAAGCTTGATCCCAATTTTTTTTTTTTTTTTTTTTTTTTTTTTTTTTTTGCTATTGCTGGCTTCAAAACATTCTGTTCATTTATCAATTACGTAGTCATGGAGACTACAAATTGGCAATGTCAAAGCTTTTGCTGACTGCTAATTCTCTTAGGTGATGTATATTGCACAAATAAGAGAGCTACATTAAAATGCCAGCATTATATACAGCATGACATTTTCCACTCTCCCTGAGATGATTTATCATAGCCAAGTTCACACTCATTCAACTTCCCCCACCATAATTTATTGGGAAACTGTTCCGTAATTGCTAGTGTGACTTTGACAAGAATTATATGATGGGAAGATTTCAATCATTAACCATCTAGAAATATCAAGTGTTATCCTCACATATGACAATGAAAGCCACATTGACACTGTACCCAGTCAAATCACATTGCACATCCATACAGATTACGCCTTTTGAGAGGATGTTTTTTTCCCAGCTCCTATGAAGAGTTTGAGGAGGCAGTAAGAGAAAACTTTGAAGCTTTTTCAAACACCAAAATCCCCTACAGCCTCAACCATGATTACGTTCTAGGGAAATCCTACAAAAAGGAAAATGTGTACAAATAATGCCAGAAGTGAGGAAATAAATTAGACATATAGTTGTAACAGTTGGTGGTACAAAGAATACGCATGATTTGCTGAATCTAAAACTATGCAGAAAGGAACCACTGGTATGTTCACTTCCTTGGGTACAGTACCGTTGTATCTCATGCTGCATTGCTCACTCCAGCTGCAGAAGAAAATCGCTGATCCATTCATTCTCCTCAATATTTCCCTGCCTCTATCACTAAAAACACCAATAGGAATGCTTTTCATTCTTTTCCTTTCCATTCCACATTTCCTAGATACACTGGCTAAGCACCTTCAGACATTATTGGATCCAAGATAGCTCTAGATGCACCATCACACCATCAACCTCTTCAGGCTATTTTAAATTCATGCTTCACATTTCAGTGACCAAATACAGACTTAAAGTTAAGCATCCATTTTATTGTAATGACAGGTATACCTTACACTACCCTGTTGCCATGGTAACAAATATGGTAGCTACTAGATTTATGGTAACACATATTCCCAAAGGCAATTTTTTTTTTTTAATTCTCCCTTGCACAATCCTACCAAACTACCTAATTGCAAACAATATTCGGAGAATAAGCAGCCCTCACAAGTCTTCCATTCTTTGGATTTAACTGCAGAATGATACAAAACATGTTGTTGTTCAGAACATCAAAGTTTCAAGTGAAATTAGCAAAAAAATTAAGGGGATACCATACAGTAACTAGAATGTAACCAAATACAGCTATCCCTATTTCTATACAACACAGAAGGGAAAGTATTTATCATCCGTCTTTTGCCTAAACTGAAAGGCATTAGAAATGATTTTTTAAAATCCCAGACAATTTCTGCCTGTTGACAAACACATATCAGAATTCTTTTCACTGTTTAACAGTTAAAATATACTTGATGGTGAGACTATTTACACTCAAAGCCATAAGCGTTATAGCACTTGCCAAAATACTTTGTCTTTGGAGTTTTACAATTCAGGTAAGAAAAAAGAAAACTACTTCATCAGCAGTGAGTAAAAAGCATCCCAGCTGGCGTTCAAGTGGCTGGGAAAACCTTCTTAAGCTACAGTCACTCAAGTAAATGTCTACCACACAAACACTAATTAAAGTTCTTTTCCTGCCTCTTTCTCTTGTTTAGCTGAAAAAACAACATTATTGCATTAATGATAATATTTCCATAGTTCTTTTTAAACAGGATGGTGTTAACTTAAAATCTCATTTAGTATTTAAGATTCCCATTAAGTCCAAGTTTCAAAGTACGTTTTTATTCTAAGCAAATATTTCAGTCCCAAATACTGCATTTATTACAAGCTACGATCTGTGATAATAGCTCTTGATGCTTTCTAAAGGATCCCTGATGCTGGAGCCAGACTGTACAGCCAGCTCACTAAAAAAAACCCACAGGGTGCACAGGTTGCTTTGAGTGGAAATAGTACACCCCTTTCTGAGAAGGATCCTAGAGAAATAATGTGATTCATTCACATAGACAGAAGTCTAACATAACTGGACTGCTACTACATGACTTCAAGCAATCAGGGTAAATTTGTAGTAAACCAAATTATATTTAAAATCTTAAGTGCTTTCATAGAGGACTAACAATATAACATTTAAATAGAATTGAAATATAATCTTGAGGAAAGGTGACAAATCTCTGTAGTTTAGTTAACAAAGAGATTTTTATATATAAAGAAAAACAGAGCAACTGTAGGCTCATACTGCAAAGAACTCTACAGGAATAAATAATTTCACTAGACGTCTCACGGGTCAGACTTTTCTCCTTACCTGTCTCCTATCCCTCTGAGACGATGATGAACAGGAGGCACTTCTATGTGATGGAGTGGATGTTTTGTGAGCAGGAGATATACTCTTCTCCTCCGAACTCATCTTCGCAGAAAACTTGCAGTAATGATCTTGTGCTCTTATCATTCATGTACTAAAAGGCAAGGAAGGGATACTCTTCTGCATTCTTCTGTTTCACAGCTTATGGAGTGCCAAAAGAGTTTAAACTCAGCTGAACTTCACCTTAACAATGAAAAATGAGAGAAGGAGAATGAATACATTTTCACTTTAAAACAGCTCTGTAGCACAGACACCTATTGACAGTCACTACTTAATTCAACCGACCTCCCGAATTTTTACTTCCTTTCCTTGTTCTAACCAATACAAACACATTCTCACATACGATATCTCCAAAAGCCTCAATGGAAAGGCCTAGGCAATTCACAGCAATTCCCACACAGAGTTTACAATCTATTTCAAGCGGTCAATATCTCATATTACATGATATCTCAACACTATCAAGTAACTCCTCAGTAGCCACACCAAAATTGGATATTCCTGACGTAAGTGCAGCCCACAGGGAACCCACTTCAACCTGAGAAAAGTGTGAGGAGGAAAGAGTGGAAGGGAAAATTTCCGTACTGACCATTGCCCATCATCCATGCCCTGGTAAGGTACAGGTTTAATGTCTTAGATTTCTTTCTATCCAAATCTATTTTATTTAGCAATAAGTCCATCTAATTTTCCCCAGACTGAGTCTGCTTTGCCCACAACAGCAATCTCTTCGCCTTCATTTCACTCCATACACTTCCGCATCCTAGTTCCTCCTCCCATCCCACTGAGCAGCTAACCAGCCTCAGATAAAACCATTCCCTGGAATGATGCCTCTGCTTGAGACTATCACCCGTCTTCTCCATTGCTCTTTCCCTAATTAAGAAACATGATGTCCTTCCAAAAATGCTGTTGTGACAGCACATCAAGAGTCTGCGCAGTACAGCTGGCTTAAGATGGGTGTGGAGAAAGGTACTGTCATGCACCGTACTTAATGAGATCAGGACAAAATACATTAACCAACACACTCAGAAATGATCGTGGGCTCAAGAAATTATGACATGATGAAGACACAGCTTTAGCTACTCCAGTCACAACAAATGGCCATGCAAGACTATCTTCCTAAACCCAGATGAGGCAGCTAAATAATTACATTTCATCTTGCAGCCAGCAGTTTCAGAATATTACGCCCTAACAATCACTCTTTTGCTGGAGTCAAGTTCTGTGACGGCTTGTAAGTGACAGACTTCATGCTGTCATCTGTTATTCTGGCAACACTTGAAAATTCACATTGTTCAAGAGCAGAATCTGAGCAGTATCACAGGTCTTCTGTATGTCTTCTGCAGGAATTGTGTCTAATGAGCAAGTCATTTTAAAATGAAAAATATATAACACCTTCCCTGCTTACTGTACTGTGGAAAGTTAAATAATCTCAATTTATTATTTTGTCAGTACTTTCGCAAACATGAAACTCATCCTCATCCCGTGGATGAATTTTCATCTCCATTAAGGAGCCTCCTGCAGCATTACAGACCCCGTGTAACATCTGTAGAGCTCACACAGAATGCTGATGGCATGGCTGGGAGGGCACAGCTGTTTCACTAGCCCATACAACCTGAATATCTTGACAATTTTTCTGTTCCTCTCTGGTTGAAACACTCCTGCTAGAAGAAGTGGTCTAAAAAAATAAGCAGGATCTGCTCTAGCCAGCTACAAGACAGTGGTTGCAGGAAGTCACTAGGGCTCACTAGCAATTTAACTTATTAGATGCAAAATGTTATTACTAGTAACAGAAGCTATTTCCAGTTCTTACTTAGTTTTGCCACTCTGAGCAAAATGACCTAGAAGTCCCTTGTAGCAGGCCCAGCAGTGGAGTCAACCAGGATAGACAAAAGAGCTCCAAAAGAAAAGCTTGTGTAGCTGACCCTGGGATCTCCCTATGTCCAGCAAGCTTCCCCCAAGTCCAGCCAAGGCTTGCTGGTTAATCAGGCAGCAGAACTCCACCTGGGGCTGCAGGCACAGAGCCAGCTGTCAGTTGTTTCACTGAAGTTGGCTGACTGTAGCCAAGTCCCCAGGCACAGCAGAACTGAGCTCCTCTCTGCTCTGCCCTGCTCCCATTCTGAGTCCTCTTCTGCACCCTGTTCAGCTACGGTGAGCCTCAAATGCAATAAATAAATAAATAAATAAATCCATCTTCCAGAGCTGCTGTAGTTCTTCACATTTTGCCACTTCTGTTTGCAGGCTTCCATTTGCATTTGATTAAAATTAAGGTTCGCACACAATAGCACTACTGTGAATAGTATTTGCATTACTTGTATGCAGCAAGACAAATACTAAACGTTTTTAAATATTCGTTATCAGGTCAAATTGTCTTTTTTTTGGGAAAATACAACTTACTAAAAAGCACTGAACTTTATCTTCCATAGATGAAAGATGCACAAAAGCAAGGAGGGAAAGCCAACATTTGGCTCTAAGGAATAAATGAACAGCACTTGGGAGGGCATTAACCAGCAGTACAGTTTTTGAAAAAGAAGGCTGCACAACACATTTGTTTCAGGACTTCAAAGTGAAAGCTTAATGAAGCTGCTCTCAGAGACGCCTTTCCTTTCAGCCTAGCATGCTAGGAACTGATCTAGCTGAACAGCATTTTCATACCCTACAAACATATCGGGCAAATTTCAATCAAAGATGTGCACTGACAACGATACCTCAAGATCTATGCAATTTTCCTACAAATCAAAACTCAAATGATGAAAGTTAGAAATAACAGAACAAAGAAATAATAATCCCAGGTCACAAAGCTGTGCAGAACAGTCAAGTTATGAAACAGCTAAAAGGACAAATTTTCATTCACTTTCAGCCATGAGGTCACTGAAAAAATTTTTAGCAGAGCAGCCTTTGGGCAAATGAAAATCAAATGCTTTTTAAAACATCTGATCTTCACTCAGTTGACGTGTGGAAACATTTATATTTAGCTTTGGCACAGGATGACGGCGATCTGCCACTTTAAATGTGTTTTTAAGGCTTTCGGGAAGCGTAGGTGCTGTTGTAAAAGCAAATGCAAAGCTAGCAAGTGGTACTCAGCAGAAACGGTTCTGTACTCATTAGGTTTGAAATGCTTTAAAATTCTTTTTTTTTTTTTTTTAAAAAAACAGCAGTGTACACCTAAGCCAAACTCCTCTGATTCTGTGGTGTTCCCTAAGCTAACCAGTAGCCTAAAGCTAACCAGTAGCTCTCTCAGACCACACTTTATTTATCAACTGCTGTCCCTCACAAAGTGTAATACTAAAATACCCCCTTCACACTTGAAGAAGCAAACATTGGAAGTTACTGCCCCTGTTAAATAGGGCAAGAAGCAAAAAAACCTGCTATTAGTTATACATGGAAATTTCTGATGGAGGAGCAGTTCAGGGTCAAAAGTTAAAAACCAGAAGTAGGATATTTGAGAAAATGAGCACTATAAGTAAAACAAAGATATTAATGTGAATTAGCAAGAGCTAGAACTGAGGTTTTTGCTATTGTTCTTGAACACTAAGTTTAGATTCTGTTTGTCTCCATTGCTAGAGCTTATCTTCCAATTTTGGCTTAAAATTTAGGTAGTACATCTTTTTCAGAGCATGGTAGAAATAAATTTGTGAAACTGATTTAAAGAGATGCTTGTCTCTGTAACTAAGATTGAAACAAACAATTATATATCTCATTTTTTGGTGAACCAATTCAATTTACCTAAATGAAACCAATGCTTTCAAAGCATTTTTCACTTTTTTTTTTTTTTTCTTTCATCCATCACCAGCAATTTTGCTGTTAGCTTCACTGGAAACACAAACAAGCTGCATACTGTGATAGAATATTTCTAGAAAATAAAGAAACCTAAAAGAACAACATTAAAAAACCATGTTGTTACAATCTTGCTCAAAGACACTGTGAATGCCCCATGCCTGGAGCTCAAGGCCAGGTTGGATGGGGCCCTGGGCAGCCTCATCTAGCATTAGATATGGATGTTAATGGACAAAGTGTACAAACAGATGACTTGCAGAAATACAGAACTATAAATAAACCTGCATCTCACATTAATATAAGTTTTCAATGGGTAACATCAAATGAAATCTTAATTCAAAAAAAACAGACTTCAGTGACAAATGTGGTGTTATTTCTCACTGGCTCTTTGCATCCTCTGATTGATTTCTTTTCTGCAAGAATGCCCAGTATGCTTTATAGCCTGTTTAATAACCTATGCACTATTGGCATAATTTGAGAAGACAATTTAGGGTGCAGAATGCTGCCTCTGAGCTTAAGTTAACTAAAAATACGCAAATGTCTCTGGCACTCCTCCAACCAAAGCCATCTTCACACTGATGCATCAACACAGGCTGTGTTATTCATCGGGAAGGAGAAGGTTGTGTGAAGCGTGCATCTGTACAGCACGCTCATTCTGTTCTGCAACATCCAACAGAGAACAACCCCTTTTGCCATGTTATGCGGGATACACAACAACCTGTCCCCCCCCCCACTGATTCCACTGATTTCCATGCAGGAAAATCCTAACCATGCTCCCCTGCTGCAACACATAAATGCTGCAAACACAAGAATGTAATAGAAACAATATATCTCAATGCTGTGGCAATTTCATAGACCATTAATGGGAAATAAGCAATTTTTCTTTCTTCCCCCTCTCTATAAAATTGCAAATCAATCACTTTACAATCCCTATATGTGAGTCAGCCACATGAACATTTATGATTCAGCGGGGTGAGACGAACTCTGTAGCATGCTCTATGTGTACAGTGACAGAGTGAAAATACAGCATGCAATCTGATCAATAACCAACTCCAAAGAAGCTGAAAGATGAGCAGAGACCACATAAGTAATCTAGCAAACCACTCTGCAGACAATAGTTTAACAGCTGGCTTCGGTAAGAAACAGCCTCATTTGCTAACCTGAGGATAGCAGCTGTGCTGCTCCTTAGTTATACTCTCTATTGATCCTTAGCCAAACAAGCAAACATTACTGTCAGATCCTGCAGCTCCCATCCACCCATCTGAGAAAGTATTGTCACCAGACTGCCACCACTGCCGAAACATTGCTGCTTCTGGCAACATCAGAAATAGCTGCTCTGGATTCAAGGTTTGCTGCATTTCTATGTCCTGTTAAAAATGATTCATTAAAAAGAAAATACCGTAAAAAGCAAAGAA